CAGATAAATGCTTTGAATTCAATGTTTATTTCAATTCCAGACACTACTAATGTTCCCATTAGGAAATAATAGGATATATTTTTAAGCACGGTTTTGATCATTTCTGTTTCCGACTAGGAAACGTTAACTTTCTCTACTCTAACTCGGCCCAGGGTGTTGTAACCTTACGATTGAGTTTGTAATTCTCCGCACCCTAACCTGGTAAGCAACACGTGGGAATATGGAGGAGTTGTTTGATAACTTCTCTTCTGTCTCTCTGATTAAAGAACAGATATGAAATATTAAAAATATCAGATTGGTTACACAACTTAAAGGAGATGAATGTGAAATAGAATTAACCAAGACTATTAAAAATCAAATCAATAGATTCTCTTGTTTCGAAATTTTAAGCTTTATAAAAAAGAATTAGGTTATAGGTTCTTAATTTAACCATTTCTAGTGTATTTGGTGTTTACCCTTCATGCATGGAAAGGAGGAGACCTCTCGTATTCCAGATCTCTGTGATTTGAGATGGAGTAATAGAAGACTAGTGTGTATTCTCATTACCAGTAGGACAACACCGGCATCACTAATAGTATAGCTATTAATCTATTTTTGAATAAATATCAAAACAACAACACCTAGGGCCTTATGAAAAGGGATATCCGTTGAAATACCTGGCAATTTGATTGCAATCTAATTAGATCATATCCAGGATCTTAATCGAAAATGAGAACTATTAGGTGAGTATACGGAAAATGTTTAAATGCTATTGGTGCGGTATATTTCTGATTTAATTCAAATATTTCCTTTTTTGCAACCAAGTCAAAATTCTAAGGGTTGCATGAAACCGCACGCTAAGTATTCCCGAAATGGTCAAACACTCGTCAACGCAGGTGCATTGTATTGAGAAGCACAGGATCTCTGATAGGTTACATTGAAAAGTTAGAACCATGACCCAAGTAGTTTTTACGATAAATAATCCAAATTACTCAGATGTTGAGATTATTCTACTATAGTTGTGTAATTTTCAAAGTATTTCATTCAATATCATACAAGCAAGTTATACGCACCAAAACCGTATAGAGAGACATGTTCTAACAGACATTTGTAAATTTTCTAGCGTATATTGCGGTACAACTTTCGCAAGGAAACTACGTAAAAACTAAAAAAAATTGACGCGACGTGCAAAACTTTTGACGACTAACTGTATAGTTATCTTTCCCACAATTTTGGAATATATTTTTGGTTTATCTTTTTCTGTGCAACTGGTCTAGTTCCCAAACAAAATGCACAATTCCCAATACTTTAGGGTAAACGCCATTAACGGACATATGTAATATTTTGAAAACGATTTATCTATTTGAAATACGCGTCTGGCGAGTGTCACTTAATATTAAAAGGAACAGAGTTTACTGTAATATAGCAATTTACGTTGTTACTAGCACATCTCGTGTAAATTTCAGACTTCTCCTGTCGTTCGGCAGATGTGATCCTTCAAAAAGCATTCTTATTTAGAAATAAATTAGTATGAAATCAGTACCAAATATACTACCGTATAGGGTCTTGAACTCAAGAATCAACCAAAGACGTACTCATTGTCATAAAATACTCTTATCAGATGTATGTTTATATTGTTAACTGCAAAAACTGAACAAAAAAAAATAACTACAAAAAGCACAAGTAACTCTAATTTATTACAGTAGGATTACAAAAATACCCAGCAGCATACGATTACAAGACCATCCAAACACCACCTCCAAGAAGAATAAGCAAGACCACTGCTGTCAATATGCCTGCACCTGCCTTATCCTTACCGGTTACTGTAATCTTATTCCTATTAATTGTATCTTCCGCACCAGTACCAGCTGCATAATTGGTACGATTAGTTCCACCAGTTTTAATACTAAGTGGCTGTTGTACTATTAAGGAATTAATCACTTCCAAAGAAGACGTTTGTTCACCTAAACCGTAAAAACCGTCCCAATGTCCCAAACTCCAATCTTGACCACAAGTAACACCATCTGTACCACCCGAACAAGATGCAGCAGCACCTTGGGCAGAAGCTTCCAAGAGCGGTCTAATAGTTTCAGCGGTCTCTGGCATGAGTATCAGAGTAAGACCAAGGCAACGAGAAAATAATGATCTGAAGGATCTTTGATCATTATTACACATTAAATATGGTTGACAAGTTGTCTCTTGCATGATTGAGTTATTAAAGAAATACATAGATGATTGTAAGATTTCGTTAGCTCTAGACTGCCACTTTGTGTCATTGGTGAAATCATACAAATATGCACATCCACTAAGGAAAATACCATAAGTATAAGACCATCTCAATGTAGTAGGATCGGTACAATTAGGGATATTAGCGCCATCATAAATTCTCATAGTTCCATCAGCTTCCTCGGTGAAGAATCCAACATTCTCCATCCAATCCCAAACTCTTTCAGCCACATCAAGATATGTAGTTCCATTTCCCGTATATCTGGCTAACCTAGCAGCTAAATGGAAGAGACAACCATTGGAAATTGAATTCTTATAATCATAACCTGAGTTCCAGGTGAAAATTTGCCATCTCAAACCTCCACCACAATTTGCAGTATCCCATCTGGAATTCATTGTATTAAAAACTGCTTGTACCAACTCTAACCAACTATGAGATGCAGGTTCTGTGAAATTACGTTCTACAGCTTGCATAATTGCCATACCCCATACCCCTTGATCATCATTACCTTCAGTCATTGATTGATTAGATGGGACATAATTAAAGTTTTCACCTGCTTGATGATACATCCCATTAAAGATCCATCCTTCTAATGTTGTATTCTTATTGTCGCAAAATGTATAATAATCAAGTAATCCACCAAATGCTTCACCTGCATTCCACCAATAATTAGGCTGAGCAAACATACCAACAACACCACCATATGCAAATCCTTCGTAATAATTCCAGGCACCATCTGAAACTATTTTAGCTGCGGCACATATGGAGGAATTGGAGGATATATCTAACTCAATAGCAGATACCACGATGGTGGCTATGAGAAGATAGGACCAAGTAAATTGAAATGTATATTTGAACATTCTTTGCGTTTGATTTGTTGTTAATTTAAAATGAAAAATCTTATTCACAAGGATTGAGTCTTGTGACTATTTATTAATCTTCTTCTTGTAAAATATGGAAATTCTATCAATCTCTCTATAAAGTATCAAAAATATAACGTTTTTATTTATTTGTATTTCTAACAAATATGATAACTCTATTGATACTTTGTTTGATTGTCTTATAGGATAGATAGATGCTAATATATAATATCAATTAATTACTTGAAAAGAAATAAGTGTGATGGAATAGAATTTGATGATGTTGATAATTTCTAAAAATAAACCAATCTACAGGGAAGGGAAAAACTGATAAAATTTATTGATGTACTATTTGTTTGACACAATATGGATCTTTGAATTTTTCTTTAAACGGTCGTGCACCTTTCAACAAAATCTTTAAACAATCATGATGCCATCCTCCGCCCATGTCAGACTACTCAAATTAAAGGTCCACAAGGCTCAAAGACTACTCTAAATACTAACATATTATTCAAGTTTCTCAATTGTAAAAGCACTGATTTTTGCTCGATTTTGGCAATGATCTATTGTTAATTTAATTATTCATCATGAAGAAGCACAGCCCATTTTTCTTGATGTTTGGCCAGATCTTTTATATTATTTGCTTTAGTTTGCTTGGCACAGTCATACTAACGGATTCAGCGTAACTTGAAAATGTATCATTTGACTGTATAACAGATATAGAAACGTGTAGAAGAACTTATCAGATTCAGATGACTATTGAAATTTTATTTGGATCGTATCTACATGGTATAACACAACCATGCATCTTTTCATATATTACTATACATCTATAAAAAGAGGAGCATTTAATGACAAGTAGAAGGTAGCTCAGATTTGTGCCATTGCTATGACTAATAACTTATACATGTTCGAATTCCATCTATGTGCACATGACTTCCCTCTCTGTGAGGTTTCCGTACCTTGATTTCTCTCTTCACTTGTGGTGGACATTGGGTCGCTTGTCGTCAAAGTAGAATTGACAAATCTTGCGGTTGATGCGGATACGTTGGATGACGAGCTTTTCTTAGCCAGGGTAGTGCTGGTAACGCTAGATGAGCTGCTACTTTTAGATGTTGTTGGACTACTCGTTTCTGAGCTTGATGATTCTTCAACTGTCGAACTCGAAGAATATGTGTTGCAAGTGGTTTCTGTCAACACATAACCTTCCGGTGGTTTGATTGCAGGATTATTTTCAGTACCTGCTTCCTCACTATAGTTGACACGGGTTGATCCACCGGTGTTCACAGTCAAAGGGGCCCGTACCAAGAGTGAATTGAGAACATCTAAAGCTGAGGATTGTTCTCCTAATCCGTATACACCATCCCACCCCCCATAGGCCCAATTTTCTCCACATGTTATCCCATCAGTCCCACCAGAACATGATTGTGCGGCGCCTAGTGCTGATGCTTCTAATAATGGTAAAATTGTATCGCTTGTTTCAGGGACCAATTTCATTGTAAGACCCAAGAATCGAGCGAAGATTGATCTAAACGATCTTTGGTCATAGTTGCAAACACCCCGTGTGGCGCATGTTGTTTCTTGCATAATCAGCCCGTTAAAGAAATATTTAGATGCTTCCAATATTTCCAAGGTTCTGGATTTCCAAACCTCATCTCCGGTTAGATTATAAAGATATGCACATCCACTAAGAAATGTACCATAATTAGAGGACCATTTTAATGTAGTAAAGTCTGTACAATTCTCTTCTACGTGTGCACCATCATAAATTTGAATCGTGGTACCATCATCTTCCACTGTAATATATCCTACATTAACCATCCAATTCCAAACCTTTTCTGCAACTTCTAAATAATCAGCCTTATTATCTGAATATCTTGCTAATCTTGCAGCCAAATGGAAAAGACAACCGTTGGCAATAGTACTTTTATAATCGTAACCCACATTCCATTCAAATATTTGCCATCTTAAACCACCCCCACAGGTACAGGGATCCCATCTAACCCTCATACTGTTGAAGAGTGCTTGTGTCAATTCAATCCAACTCAAGTCTTCTGGGTCTTGAAAATTCTGCTCAACAGCCTCCATAAGAGCCATCCCAAAAACACCTTGGTCGTCATTTCCTTCAACCATTGATTGATTTGATGGGACATAATTATTCTCCTCACCTCGTTGACTATACATACCATCAAAAATCCACTGGCGTAAAGTTTCATTCTGATTATCACAATACGTGTAATAATCAACCAACCCTCCCCAAGCTTCCCCGGCATTCCACCAATAATTTGGAGGCATGAAAGTGCCTATAGTTCCTCCATAATGGAATCCGTTATAGTAGTTCCACATTCCTTCTTGTACTTCCTTCGCAGCAGCACATATCGAGTCACGTGAATTAATATCCAATTGCAAGGTATGAACTCCCAATAGTGATATGAGTATGTATGCAATATTAAACCAATAATTGTGTTGAAACATTTTGTGTTGTTATAGGCTAAATGCTTTTACTTCAAAAGCAAAAACGAATCCGTGACCTTTTATAAGCCTATTTATATATTGAATTGGATTACTTTGTAGTCAAGTACTCCCAATAAGTTTTTGTATATAGATGTAAGAATCCTATTCTAAAAATAATTATAGCTCTAAAGGAAATGCAAAACTGAAAATAGTGATGAGGGGGCGGGCACAGATCACAGTTTTATTAAAAACTCCTTACCCCTGTTTATAAATAAACCGTTTACTGGCATCCATCGAAATGTAAAAAAAATTACCCGTTACTTTTTAAATTTATTGTTGACATTCTTCTAAAAATAAAACGTAAAAAGAAAGATCACAATATTTCTAAAAAAAAAACTCCATTAATTAATTTGCAGTCATTTAATTTTTTTTTATTTTGTCAGATCATTAGGACAAAATCAAAAATGACGTCATTTTTTCGGTTATCTCTCTCGGTTACTACCAACCTTGCATCAAACAAGAGTAATTAACCTTTTGGGAATAATCTTATTGTTATATCTCAAGGCACTGTGCAAGTAGAAAATCCGAGGATCCAAATTGATTAAGAAAGGGGTTCCTCGTACCACTTTTTTTCACTCATATCCAAATATCACTAATTACCTGTTAATTAAGATTAATGTAAAAAAAAAATTGGATTAGTAAAATCTTCCGATTTAAATTTCTCTCCTTTTTTATCGGAAGTCACTCCCTAAGGATATTACGTGTTGTAGGATAAAATACAGACTCAGACAACATCCCCCTTAGGGCAATCACACATGGCCTTCGGGCAACACAACATGGTCCTAGTGACCTCCAATAACATGGCGATTGCCGTCTAGGGGGTTTTAGTGGGTATGGCCATTTTACATGGACGAGTCCCACACTGTTAAGTCGTGCCTAAAGTGCATTTCCTCCTTAGTGATACTAGAAAAAAAAAACTCCCAAATCCGTTTATAAAAATAAACTTGATCATATTAATTCCACTTGAAAATAAACTCTGCCATATTTCAACTTTACGAACTTACAAGTATTTTTTGATGATATTTATAGATTCGATGTGTACATGTGCACAAATTTATACCACATGGTTGCATTGAGATAAATATATAATTCACCTTTTGTGATAAACAGTATAGACTCGTGGTAACACCAGAATTTTGCACATCAGCTACATCAAGCCCGCAGCTATCGATGTAATGTAATTATATTTGCAGCCAAAAAAGGCTTTACCTCTTGACTAAAATTTAAGAAACGTTTGGATTTTTTTTTTNCTTGATATTTTTTAATCTCCATGGATTTATTGATTGTTCCCTGCATGTTTCTGCCGGGGTTATTTACTTTTTTTTTTTCTTTAAACGGTATCGATTAAATTATACACTAAAATTATAAACTATAATATATAAACTGATACTGACCCTCTGATACATATAGGCAATGACGTTAAACAAAAGTCTGATATTTCTTAATCTCCATGGATTTATTGATTGTTCATTGCACGTTTCTCCCGGCGTTATTTACAATGAGGATTAACAAAAGTGCCAAGCCATCGAATCCTGCAACGCTAAGTACGATTAATGTTTCTAGAAAATACTCCTGCGTAAAAAATAGTAATTTCATGTAGGTCTATTGACAATAGTTATGTGAAACAATTTAGTTTCATTTCCCTAATGGGACAAATTCGGTTGAAATACGTGTGCGAAAAGAACAATGGGACTTTTTGAATTTGTGACTGGAAATGTTGGGTACATTGTTCAAATTTGACAAAGAAGTAATTAGGCTAGAAAGTCTTAATGTAGTGTTCGAAGTTGCCCATGTGATCACTTAATATTGCCTTTAGTAAACTAGTCTAACAGATTAATTGCTCGCCAGTGTAATCAACCAAAAGTGAGTAAATTAGGGGCTTTTTCTAGAACGTTTAGAAAAAAAACAACCTCGAATTCTTGAACGTTCGTTTAATTGTTCAGTTTTGTGATGATTCCGAAAGCGGCTTATTGCGAAGTCATACGGACTTCGCTTCCCAATAGGTAACTGTCTGATTTGCAGACCCTGTTTTCAAGAACTATTGTGAGAAGTACGAAGCCCCAATACACTAGCAATAAACTTTTTTGTTCCCAGACTAGACAGAGATACTACAAAATACCTATATGCAAAGTCTAAACCATGATTTTGGATCAACAACAAACTTTGAACAAAGAAGCCCTATTTATTAAAAGCTTATTTACGCACAAACGAAACCATAGATCTCAACCTCCTGTCTAAAAGTCTAATTGATATGATTGAGGTGCTGGTAGGCTTTTAGCTCCATGCATCCCCAATGATAATTGTGGAATACGAATTGGGGAACTTAGGCTTTGCTAAAACCTAACTAAAAATCTGTGGCTTCATTTATGCTGGTGTAGCGAAAACAAAGTACATGCACTGAGTAACTTTGCGCCCTTTAGAAAAGAAAAGAACGTTCACCAGGTAAACAGGATCAATCAAGACCAAATCAGATGGTTTTGGTTCATAAAAGCACTTGAATGCGATGTAATGTATGGAATCATCTTTGGGCGAATGAAAATAGATGATAATTTATTCTGTGAACGACACGAAAAATATTATTTAGAAATGGTTCGGACTTTGTTTTGAGCCAAGCATTTCGAAAGTGAGCAAACTCCATTGCAATATCAGCTGAGTTACAAGAGAGGGGAAGGAATTTGGTAGATTTCATAACCGCTTGTGCGAGAACGTCATATAACTTAAAAGCTAGTGTCGTACAAACACCGATTGAGAAAAAAAAATATTGAAAGGACATTGATGTGTATATGCAAGAAATTTTTCTAGCGCTCTATTGTGATTATTATTTGAAATAAATTTTCTTGGTACTCTATAAGCACCCAGGACTAAAAATTATTTTTTTGTTTGTGCCGCAGATAAAATATTCGGTTAAAACTTCTTGTGGTGTTTCTCAGAAAACAAAAAATCTTGGACAATAGACTTAGATGTGTACGTTGTTAAATGGTGGACATTCATTCGCAAGAGTTGAAATGGTACGATTGACGATTATCGATCATGAGACAGGATATACACATACCGCTTTCTAAAACTTCCACGGATATATCGGAACACACCAAAGGGAAATACTGCCGTGAAAACTAAGGAAACCCTCAATGGAAACCATCAATGGAACCCTTGACGGAGACCCTCGAGGGAAACCCCCGAGAACCCAACATAAGGATTAAACTTCTCCACATGTCACATTTATGCTAACATGTTCATTCAGAAGTGGTATGAAATTAAGCATACAATACAAGCTGAGCAAGACTCCGAAAAGGTGAGTAATTACCATGACTCTTGCGTATATTTCCAAAACTTAAATGGAATTGGAAGCTTTCTTGACTTTCTGCCAGCGGAACTTAAACCCAATAAAAGATGCTTCCTATTTTGACTTTCTCCTAGACGAACTTAAAACAAATAAAAGAAGCTTTCTTTTTGTTTTTAACACATGACATGTATTTTTTCAAAATATCTCCCAATCAACTGATGTCGTTCGCAAGTAATGACGTAGGGACTTAGGGGCTCAACTTAGAGGGTCACGATGAACCAATATGTGTACAAATAACGAGATGTGTAGACCCTTTTTCGGTATATACGTGGACCATTCAAAACTTCTAACAATAGCTCGTGGTCAGGGATTCTTCCGCGAATGGTGATATGGGGGACTTCAACCAGGAGTGTCGAGGACACCCGTTACCTGTGTGTAAAGAGGATATCGACCATAGTATATCACAGGGAACAAAGTTCCAATAGTCACACTTTCAACGGGTGTTAACCCTAAAGATCAAGACTGGTCTTCACAAACTTAAAACATAAAACATAAGCTTTTGATCTCAAAAAAGAGGTTACAAGCAAAAATACCTTGGGTTTGTCCCCGTTTTGACTTGAACAGAATGAGCAAAACCCAATAAACCTTATTGTATCCCTATGTCTGAATAAACAAATTTAAATTTAGATTCGCTATAAATATTATGGATTTGAATTACTTCAAGGGATATTTTTACTGCAATATGTTAGTCTAAGTGACGAAATATTGTATATTGATTGTATTTTTAAGACTATGAGTTCTATTTTTTTAAACTATATGCGACCATCCCCCCACTCCGCCTTGTCTTTAATTACTAAAGAAAAAAATATTATTTTTTTGCATCAAAAAATAATATTTTATCAAAACAATAAAAAATAAATTTGTTTAAAAAATATTAATCCTTAAAAAATATAATCTGCATGAATAATAATCAAACTTTAATGCAAAAAAATCCCGGAAAAAAAATTAGACCAAAAAAATATATAAGACTCGAAATAAACTCTCTAAGTTTTTTCCTTTTTACTTTTCTCTTTCTAATTATCTTTTCAGTTCAAGTTAATTAAGAAATACAACTTCTGTTTACTTCCTAAGCGAAGATTGCACATAAAAGAACAAGAAATAAACTCAAGTGGTTGCAACAACACATTGTACCCTTAATTCCCCTACCCAAGAAATTTTCGGATCAACGAGAGCCAAGAACAGGAGAGTCATTCCCTTTCTATTGAAGTATTTTTATAACACAACATCTACAGACGTGAAAGTGACGTGAGAATATTTAAGAAATCGATTGTACACATCACTTAATTACTTCACTAATTCGTTTCATTTCATAGAACCCAAATTAACTTTTAAACAAACAATAACAAAACAAAATCAAACTATAACCTTACCGTAATTACCCCAAACAATTATGTCCAACTCTAAATTGTCCCCATCATACTTTGGTTATGTGGGATCCACCAAGGATGCTTTGTTGATTATACAAGAAATATTAGACAAACAATTGGAACTAGTACCCAGAAGACCACTCGAAGGAGAACGTCCCCAGTTAATCAAATCAGGTCATGTATTTGTATTTATTGAAGAACACTCAGGAATCAAGCGTTGGACAGATGGTATCGCTTGGTCCCCATCTCGTATTTTAGGAAGATTTCTTGTTTATCGTGAACTTGATAAACAAACCTTAAATGAGAAAGATGACAAGAAGAAAAAGAAGAGAAAGTTAACTTCAGATGACTCCCTCAATGGTTCAAGCAAGTCCTCAACTACTTCACCTCAGATTGTTTCAAGTAATATCCCTGCTTCAAACTCATACAGTAGTTCTGATTACAATAAGTCATTGTTAAGTGGACCTCTAGTAACTTCTTATGTGTTTAAGGATCAAGGGTTAATTAAAAAGACATTATCCTTGACTACAAAGACTAAAGACTTACATATCGATAAGCGTGAAGAGAAACAGACAATTCATTTGATTAGTTACTATAATGCAGATGATGTTATGAATGGTAAGTTACAACGTCCATCAGAGTCAGACTTGAAGAATGTCAATATCTCCCCAAGCTTATGGAGTGCTATCAAGCAAAGTTCCTTGGGAGGTAAGATTCCAATTGAAGATGAAGCTTTTTACTTCTTGGATGGTAATTACCAACTACAGAATATGTCTCTTTTACAACAACCCTCCCAAGCAACCTATTCAAAAGCACAGCCTCAGACTGCTTATGCCAAATATTCCAACGGGCTCGGTCAACCTCAACAATATATGCTTCCAATCCCTAACCAACCCTTACCTTCAGGAGATATGAAGGACGAGACAGGTGGGATGGTTACTACCCAGAACCCAGAATTAGCTTTTATCAACCCATTTAGTGCAGGTCACCAAGGTTCCAATCCAGCAATTTACAACGGTCAAGCTTATATTGGTGCTGGGTCTGTTCCTGGAACAACTCAAACTACATCCATCCCGGTGTTCAATAATTATTTAGTTGCTCAACAACAACCTGGACAATCTCAAACACAACAACAATATATCAGTGCTGCATATGTTCAAGGTGGGAATAATCATGACATGTATGCCGCTACCCATTTCCCGCCATTTGCCCAACATTATGCTCAACAGGTGGTTGGTCCACGTTATCATTATAGCTCGATCTCGTCCGATCCATTTGGATCAACTGGTTCAATCTCCTCGGCCAGTAGCAACTTGTTCCACAATGGAAACAATTCAAATGCAAACACACCCAATGGTAGAAAATATAACAATAGAGTTTCTTCTTCCAGTACAACGAGCCTTGATGCAGGATCTGCTAGTCAGACTGGGTCGTCTATCTCGGCATTGCCTCCTCAGACTAGCACAATGTCAAACTATGGATACGGAGCCGCTAGTGGGTCAACGCAGAATGCTTCAGGATCAAATGAATATGATTCAAATCACACTAATACGTCAGGGAATACAGAGAGTCTACCATACCAACCTGCGCGCTCGTCCCGGCAGCCATTTGCTACCCATCCTTTGACGACGATTTCAAGTGTTCCTAGTAGTACGGCTACGATTGGCGCTAATGATGAGGCCAGTGGGAATGCAAATGGGTCATTCTATTCTGGTAGTAGTTGAGAGAGTGTGTGTGTTTTAGAGAGACTTTGGTTTTTTATTTCGGTGTATACTAATTTTCGTTCTTGTTTGATTTAATGATTTTAATTTTCTTATTTGTTCCTATTAGTTCTCTTCAAAATTCTGTTAATTTACCTATATATTTATTAATTATATGACAAAGTACAATGTTTAGATATCACTTAGTAGTAACTCTTTCAAACTGTATACATGTTTCGATCCAAACTCGATGTTACCGGGATAGAGCTTGGAAGGTACAAAAAGCAAATAAGCTATTCATTTTTGTCACGTCATTCAGACATGCATCTTTGCTTAACCGATGTTCGTTTGGTGAAATTTTGTCATTCTACCTGGAGCAATTTACTACGAGTCTATAGCTTACCATAGGGTCACATGTGTTCTTTTCATATTGCGAATAATTGGAACGCCATAGATGCTGCTTATCATTATAACAAAACCAGTCATAATGGTAACTTTTGCAACAAGAGGAGAAACTCAATTTGCAATAATGGTATTGTTTTCCGATAGCATGGAGAAAGTTGAGACGGGATAAATTATTTTTTCATATTTTAAACTTTTGCAAACCATGCACTCTCTAGAAAGATGATGGTGGGGAGTTGATAAAATAAAGTTGAGGAGGTTAAACATCGGTCACAACCATTTTAATTAATCAGTCGATTGTTAACCAGTGTCCAGCTAATAAGGAGAACCACAAAATGCCGTTAACGGAGGCGTCAATTAGTAATGCCTTTGACCATCTATAGACCATGCATGAAGTTATTCCGAGTATTGAGATAGCACTAAGCCATGTGGTTACCTTCAAGGAACGCGACAAATTCTAAAGTTTTCGTTCTTTGGTAGAATAAACACCCATTCTTCAGATCCTGAGAATGTTGTGATAACCCAATTTTTAAAACTTTATTGGTCAGTCAAATTTAAAGTTTTTAGGAGAGAGACTGTTCTAATTTTGGAAAAAATTGGGTCACAAAAAAATAAAAGTTTCTTTAAGCAAGTGTGCATTAAAAAATATTATTATTTAAAGGTTCACATAAATTTTCGTTCTTCAATCTAAGCGCAATTAAAAAAAAAATTAAAACAATGTGATGATTATTAATTTTATTTCTATATTGTTTTTCTCCCGTGTAATTCGGCTAAATTTATTTAGCAATTAGTTTATGTACGGCAAAAAAAACTTATCAGAAATTCAATTGTTGGTCATTTGAACAAGCACATGAAACTCCTTATCGTCCCCCTCCCCCCACCCAACAATTTGATAACTCCCGGGGTGACCAGCAAAGCGTAAGGAGCAACTCACAAGCTCTTTATTATAGAAAGCTTTTTTTAAAAAAAAATAAAAGCTTGTTGAATGTTTCAGAAGCAAACTTTTATTACGAATTTTTTTAAAAGAAAGTTAAACTATAAAAACAAACTTAGACTTTTAAGATCTCCTATTAAGATTACACTTAATTATAGTAAAGCTTAGATTAAAACTGTCAAAATGTACCCATACGTGAGTTTAAAGACCAGTCAAAATGGTTAGCAACTGGACCCGTCTATTTACATCATCGAAGATAGGACCACAGCATGGCTTTTATACAAAAAATTCCTAGCAGTTGCAAGTTGCATTTTCAATTTTATTAGACAGTCTCGATATTCAAGAAAAAATGGGCTAATATGTAGACAAGAACTGAATTTAAAACGGGGAAGGTTCCAAACTTTAATTTGTATCTTACTAGAATTTAATGAAACCTAAGGATTGGGCAATACCCCAAGGATTCAACAGCCCCCTTACTGACGTCATAGCTCGGCATATGATTCCCTCGAAGGTTTTGCCCAGAAACAATCCTGAACCCAATTCCGATAGTAATTTTTTAAATGAGAATCTTATGATTCTAACAGTTTGATTCTACAAATTAGAATCAGAGTATAAGATTCAGGGGCTTCACGCTTCTATCGAGAACTCTAATGAGGCTAATGTAGCACGTATTACTTTGTCCTTATTGTTTAACATTCAAAGATCTTTACTTTAAACTCTATAAATAGAAGAAGGTTCCTATAGCTATTGTGTAGAACTATAATTAAGAAACTGAACCTGTATATATACCTAAAAGTTTAAATCATGAAAGGCTTTGAGAGCTTAGCTGACGATCATATCTTAGTGAGAGATATTTTAGCCACCAGTATTTGGCACAATCGGTTTTCCAACTGAATTCTACTTTGAATAAATACAGAACGTCTTTCCTGAATAACTTACTCACTCAAACATATGATGGCTCCTTTGTGAGCATTCTTCATATACGGCTTATCGAAGCCGTTAGAGATTTTTCCTGCATTGTGACTCAGCCAACTACAGGAAAACAAAAAGAGAGGTAACTAGAACCAGATTCTGAAATTTCTATAACAGGAAGTAGATTCTAGAGTTGTATTACCAAAGGTCTCAGAGAAGTCAACCTACAAGATACAGACAAACGCAAAATATGCCGTAATAAACATTAAAAATACAAACTATGAATAAAACATATTCGATATAAAATCAAACTGATTCATCCGAAGCCATCTTCTTCCATTCTAACAAAGGTGCCAACTCTTTAACATCACCAGCTTTATGTTGTATAAATGAATGTTGCAACAATTCTTCAGTACTTGCCCTATATTTAACATCGACGCATAAACAAATCGATAAGAATTTTTTAATACTATTAGATAACAATTCCGGTTTTTTCAATTTCGGTGTCCCATTGGTGGCAATCAAATATAATGCTTTCAATGGTTCTTCATTCAAATATGGTGGTTCTCCTTCAATCATCTCGATTGTCATGATACCCAATGACCAAACGTCGACTTTTTCGTCATATTCCTTTTGTTTAACCACTTCGGGGGCCATCCAATATGGTGTACCTACCATTGTTGCTCTTTTGTTTCTTTGATCAGTTAATTTGGCACAGAATCCGAAATCGGTAATTTTTACATTTCCTCTAGCATCAAGTAAGACATTATCCGATTTGATATCACGATGAATGATGTGTTTTTTATGAAGATGCTGTAATCCTTTTAAGGTTTCGAAACAAATTGTAGCAATATGTTTTTCACTTAATTTAAATTCATTATTTTCGATAATTTCAGTCAAGGATCCACCTTCCATATATTCCATAATAACCCATAAATCATTATCTTTTCTAAGATAACTATCCAAGAAATTCACAATATTGGGATGCAAACTGTCTTTCATGACTAAGATTTCATTAATGATTAGTTCTTTTCTTGGTTGAAGATTAAGATCCATTTGTTTAATGGCAACTTTTTCACCAGTAGATTTCTTTTCTGCAAGATAGACATTCCCACTGGCACCTTGTCCTGCTTTTTCAATAATGTTGAATAATGGGGTTGGATCTTCTGGATTCACCACTGTTTTTAATTTGGATATCACTTGAAGATCATTCAATCTTTCTCGTTCTTTCTTGATTTGTTTGGCACTCTTTACAGGTGCAGGTCCAGTGGCATTAAGTTTGTTAGATGGTTTGACGGAGGATGATGATGATGTTGTGGATGTTTGAGGTGGTTGGTAATGTTTATGCTCGACACTTAATGGCTTTGTAACTGAATGCGATGCACCTGTGGGCCCCGTGGGGATAGATGATTGATTGTATGGATTAAATGCCTGTTGTGGTTTTGGTTGGGTCTGCTGTTGCATTTGAGCTTGGGGTGGTCGCTGTTGTTGTTGTTGCTGATGCTGTTGTTGTTGGTGTTGCTTTTGAGGTTGTAATGGGAATGGTTTAAATCCATTAGATTGAGGAGGAGCTGGTTGGGATTGACCATTATTAGGGTATTTATTATTCAATACTGGAGCCTTAGATTTTGTTGGGGTAGTATTAAATGATGCAGAAGTTGGCAATACTGGAGGAGTTTGCTTTGGAATTGGCATAGTGGCATTAGTCGGAGAGAATGGAGTGTTGTTTAATTGAGAGCCAGGTGGGGCTGGTGCTCTTCTAGTGGGCACTAATTCCTGTTTCAGGTTGGTTGTATTCATCAAATTATTCAAGGGTGAGATTGTCTTTTCAGTGTTAGTTGAATTAGACAAATGATATGGAGTAGGCGGTTTTGGAGCAGCTCTTGAAGGTTTGAATTGAGAGGATTTGGAAGGAGCTTTAGTCCATTGTTGAAGATTGTCACTGTTGTTGTTATTTATTAATGCTCCTTTTTGAGCTAGAGCGTTTCCATTTAATAAAGGTGAACTCATAGGAGTTCCTCCATTTGATCCACCATTAATATCTGAATAAAATTCCAATACTTCGATCACTGCTACTGGATCCTTTTTCCAATCTTCATTTGTAATTTTTGAATGTTGTAATAAATTTTTCCAAGTATCGGGTAATCCAGTAAAATTACCACTTGCGGGATCAAATCCAACATGTACTTTATGGGTGAAGTTAATTGGGGAAGAAACACTTGAATTCCCACCAGTTGCCGTCGATAAACTCAGAGGTTGTCCAATTTGGATTAATGGACATTTGAGGGTGAAGATATCTAACCAATTAAGATAATCATTATTTGATTTCAAAGATATTATGACTGGTTTGTTGTTGTTTTTAAGATTAATTTCAAATGATTGACATGATTTCGTATAACCATAGTTTGGTTTTAGATTGATATTATTAATAAGATTTAATGGGAATGATAAATCGGCTTCAATATTATCCGTTGGTTCATTTTTATAAAGCATCAATGTCTTATCATTGATGACAAGGAATCTTTTATTCCATCTGAATGAAGTGAATAAACCATCGTCTTTTACATGTACCCAGCCAGTTAAACGTTTATTTGAATTTATCTTGATATCACCAGATGATACAGTTGAAGCTGTAGTATTGAATGACGTGTTTCCCAGAAGATTATTAGTTGGAGGTGGAGGTGGAGCTCTCCTATGATGCTTTAAGTCTGAGGTATATATAGTTGCCATAGCTTTGGTTGATATCTATATTTGTATATATGTGAGTGTCTATAGGATAAGTGTACTTGGGCTAATTAAATGTCTAATTATGGGTGTATGATTATGAAAAAAAAGTGGTGTTATTAACGAAAAGACAATGAATATTAATTATTAAGCTTAACAACAGCTAATTGGGGGGATCTTGGATGGGGGAAGTAAAGGTTGGTGTTCAAGAAGTCAATACTTTAAAAGATTTGAAAAGTAACTTTGTAGACAGGTGGTGGTGATTTTGATGGTAAAATTTGTTTAAGAAATCAAATAATTTCCAATTATAGAACTTAAAGGAGTATAAATTTCTAAACACGCTTCAAATTTCTTTTTTTTTTTTTGCTTCGTTTTATTATTTTTATTTTTTTTATGTTAATTTATTTAGAAAAAAACATTTTTTTATAAATGTACAGTATTAAAAATTTGTTAGTAAAATGTTTAAACGAAAAATAAAAAATATTTTTATTTCTTAATTAAGAAAAATTAATTTTATTATTTTTTAGGTTTCATTGTTCCAGTTGATCAATAAGGGGGGGGGATCGATGATGACAAGACGTGTTTCAACGATATCAATACCTAACCACATTATAATCAGCCCTAAAGTATTAAGGTTGGTATCTCCACATAATCTCTTGAAATAGATCTAGATATTAATCGAGGTATTTCAAAAATGTTATACGTGTATGATGTAAGATTTCGAAACACGATCAATAAAAATAGAAGAAACTTTACACAAAACTTATTGTTCGATTAGACGAATAACTTCAATACCCAAATATTTTGATCACGTTCATACCGTTTTACATTTCCTACTTTTTAGCTTGTTAGCTTTAACGTGCTATGATACTTCACGAGTCAACCGTTCTAGCTATAGCCAGAAACAGTACAATCATGTAACAGTGTCAATGATTCTCTTTATCGAACGGGAAACGATAAAGGGTCCATACTTTTAGACTTTCTCAACATTCCCCGATGACACGTATAATGTACAATTGATGAACTTTCTTTGAACTTTTTCTTTTCTTTTCAAGTCGACATCGCGATTAAGAATTCAAATGATTATCTTATGAACCCTTCTCAGAGAGTGGGGGGGTATTTCACAAAAATGATAAGTAATATGATAAGTAATCAATAGTTGTAATTTGAAACCCCACTCTATAAATTTAAGATTAACTTTGTTCTCTGCAAACAAAAGTAAGTATCATAACGTAGGGGGTGACACGTCTGGCTGCAAAAGATTACATAAAAAAAAAATATAACCAATCATAAAAAATAAATAAAAAATTAAATATGATGCAATTTAGCAACCAAAATACTTAAATACGAATCAATTAGAGATAAATTTAAATACTTAAAAGGCATTCTCCTATTAACCTCATTTATTTTGTATTGGTAACGTTAACAAATAATTCGATTTATTGTTTTTGGGTGTCTATGTACAGTTTAAGGGAACGGGGTACAGATGTAATATGTTGGTTTTAGTATTGCCAGCCTCATAAAACGCCCCAACTCATCCTCCTCAAATCAGAATTTCTTTAGTCTGGTCTAAACACACATTTTCATTGTTTTAGGGAAGGAAGACTTCTCCGAATCAATACACAGGTTAATACCTGGAACTGCATGTTCCAAAGTGAGATAGCTTATGGCTCTCATATCCAAAGTATGGAAAGCGCAAAAAGATGCGCTATTGCCATACGCTATAATACAATATATTAAGACACTTTTATTGAACAGAACATAGATGACCATATAGAAATAAGATTTAATCGTAATTGAACTATTTTTCTAGTTTCGTATAAATATTTTGACATAATCTCCTTGGTTTCCTAACCTTTTGTAGATCATAACCTCACCCTAGACTTGAAAACAAGGGACAAGGGAAGAGTTTGTAACTTTCTTCATTCAACAAAATTGTTACTTACCAATATCCAATAACCAACCAGCAAGGCCAGTATTTCCATAAACAACAACATTGACTCACTTTATCCGTTTAAATGAACATTTACATCTCCCATACAATTTGTAATGACTAATTAATAAATTTGCTTTGTGAATCTTTTTTTTTTTTTTGGAGTTCAAACCAAAACAGAGCAAAAAAAAAAAGCCTATAGATTGCTGCCATTTATTTGACTGTTGCCATTTTTTTTTAATAAGGAAGGGCTTTTAACTACAATCAATCAATCCATCAATTGGTTTTCACACATCCACAAATCAAGAGTCAGAAAGAGAGAGACGGAGAGAACGATTTTTCAATGCCATTTTTCAAATCAAAAAAGAATGACACAACCAAAGACAATCGATCAAGATCAAGTTCAATTGATTCAAATCATTCATTTAAATTAAGAACAATCTTTAAATCAAGTTCAAGTATAGATCATGATCCTTCACGATTATCACCATCCTCCCCCCAACTGATTGATGGAATAATGTCAAAATCTCCATCTCCAGTATTATTACATTCCAATGCTGCCAATAGAATGTATTTAAACGTACCGTCTAACAACAAAAAAGCTGGGGTTGTCAATCTGAATGAAGGATTGAGTTCTTTCAGCCACATCCCGCAAAAGAAGCGTATAAGTACAATCGCAGAAGATCACAACGATGAAATAGACACTAGTGAAAATGAAGCCGATTTTGACGACGATGATGGGGAAGAATATGACGAAGACACGACAGATGAAGAGGAAGAGGAGGATCATTTACATCCAATAAAACCACGATTCAGAACTGAGCATGGGAATATATCCCATCATTTATCTACATTAATGGGATATTGCGGATTAGTCAATTCATCAAACTTGACTGAAATAGCTAATGAAGAATCCAAACTGACATATTCATTATTAGATTCTCATAATAAGATTCATAGAATACTGAGATCATCCAATGATAAGACATCAGTCATTAGTGATGCACAAGTTAAATTAATTAATAGTCTAACTAAGAAATTGCATTCAATTTTACAAAATAAAGACAATAAACTGTTAAAAGAGGGGAAATCATTACATGATAGATATGGAGTAACGCGAAATTTGATTGGAAGAGGAGCATATGGAGTAATTAAAATTATATATCCCGTTTCTAACGGTAAAACTTCACCAGATTTAGATCAACAATTATATGTGGTTAAAGAATTAAATCGGAAAAAACTTAAAGAAGAATCAAATGCAAAATTCATTGAGCGAATTTTATCAGAATTTGTAATTGCATCAACTTTGAATTATAAACATATTGTTGAAACCATTGATTTAATGATAAATCCTCAAGATTTTAAAATAAGTCAGATCATGCAATGTAGTCAAGGTGGAGATTTATTCAGTTATCTAACTACAGGAATTGACATCAAGTCACGACCAGTTGCATTTATGTCATTATATGAAGTAGATTGTTTCATCAAACAAATTGCCAAGGGTTTAAAATACATGCATAATCATGGTGTAAGTCATTGTGATTTAAAACTAGAAAATATCTTAATAACTTACAAACAACCACAACCCCCATCATCATCATCGACAGATCCCAAAGCCAAAATCATTCTAAAATTATCCGATTTCGGAAAATCATTCGTATTCCAAACCAAATTTGACAAATCCGAACAACTAATCCCCACTTCTCAAGGTCCAATCGGTTCACTCCCATACGTCGCTCCGGAAGAATATATCAAAAACACAAATTATTCATCCATGAAAAAGGATTGTTGGGCATTAGGGATAATAATCCTTGTATTATTCAATATTCGTCGTCATTATTATACAGGACGACAAACTCAAGAAAATATTGAATTGAGATATGATGAAGGTGATGGTAGTGATGGATATAGTGCTGGTTATTTATGGCAAACTACGGAACCTAAGCATCATCATCATTCATTATCGAGTGGAAGAGAATATCAGGATAAGGTGTTTAATGAATATGTTAAGAATAGATTGAAAGGAGATTATGATGATGAGTCCAAGGAATGGACGATAGATTGGCCAGGGAGATTTAGACCTATAAATGAGATTTGTGAATTAGTAAAAGATGAAGATGAAGATGACGCTACAAAGAAAGCAGGGGAAGGGGAAGAAAAAGGAGGAGTGGAAGAAGGGGATGAGTTGAATACTTTGAGAGTGATGATATTATATAAATTATTAGATATTGATCCTGCCAAGAGATTAACTGTGAATCATTTCTTGAATAGCGATTGGATGACATCTACTGAAGATTGTTGTTGAAAAATTTTGTACTTGTCAAAGTACTGTCTATTTTATATGTACAGAAAAAGCAAGCAGGAACTAATAGAATATTTTAAATAATAATTAAATATACAATGAAAGGGAAGAAAATAAAATAACCAATAGCATCAACAATGAAAAAGAATTGTACCATTAAAGTCTATAAGGGTCGGTGTGGGGCGCGTATATGTCTTTATCTCGTCTATTAGATGAGTGGAAGAATGTTCAAAATTTGTAGTTTATATCTTTTGAAAGAAACCAAATTGTAAAACAAACTCATGAAAGGATAAATAAGGAAGATATGAATATATCTCCCTTTCTAAGAATGCAAAAAATGAACTAGAAGGGGGTTGTTGTTTTTTTAAAAATCCAAGAATAAATTTCCATAAGGATCATCAACTCCACTGATACCGTAATCCAATTCTTTTTCTTCAGGATATCTATCAAATTGGGAAGTATCACCAACACCAGAAGTAATTGGAGGTTCATAAGGAGTTTCAATATCTCGAGATAATAATCTTTCCCAAATGACCTCTTTAAACCAAGGATGTGTTTTAACATCTTCTGAACCACCTTGTAAATTACCTAATCTTTGAGATAAATCTTTAACAATCAATTTTTGTAATAAATCCAAAATATCCGGTGGTAAATAATCAGGATAAGTTATTGTACCATTTAAAATATTTTCATAAGTTTTCATTGGAGTTGGATCATAAAATGGAGTATAACCAGTTAACATTTCAAATATTAAAATCCCAAATGACCACCAATCAACTGATTTATTATAAGGTTTAGTTGCAACTACTTCAGGAGCAATATAATCTGGAGTACCACATAAAGTATAAGTAACATCAGTAACTTCTTTAGCAAATCCAAAATCAGTTAATTTAATATGGCCATTTTTATCCAATAAGATATTCTCTGGTTTTAAATCACGATAAATTATATCTAATCCATGTAAATATTCAATTGCTAAAAATACTTCAGCAGCATAGAATTTAGCAACTGGGGTTGGGAATCTTTGTGATTTTCTTAATAATGAAAATAATTCTCCTCCTTCTATATAATCCATAATCATAAATAAATTATGACAATCTTGAAATGTCCCCCACATTCGAATTATAAATGGATGCTGGGCCAATTTTAACATTCTTCTTTCATCATTGGTATGTTCTACTTGTTTCATATTCACTACTCGTTCCTTTTTTAATGTTTTCATGGCATAAAATCTTCCATTATGAATTGATCGAGTTAAATGAACTCTACCAAATGATCCTGTACCTAATGTACGTAAAATTTGAAAATCATTTAATGTATATTTCCCCTTGGTTGTTGTATCTTTATTATAATGTTTAGATACTTTATCATTATTATGAATAGCAGTGTTATTATTATTATTCTTTTGTATCTGATGCAGTTGTTGATCGTCGAGGGATGGGGTTCCTGATATATAAATATTATTCTGCTGTTGTTGCTTTCGTTGCATTTCTTCCAAATTTATATCATTTAGAGACATCGTACTTGTCTCTGATTTCTCCATAGATGTCATTATATGCAATATACTTGTTGTCGTATAAAATGAATGTAAACTAGCTATACGATTGAAATGGTCCTCGAACTTTTAGCCAAAAATAAAACTTGTTGTCTGTCCGTTGTCTGTCTCTATAAATTGGGTAGTTATGTTAAAAACTGGGCTGATTGCTTATTCTACTTTGACAGGACTGAAGATGAATATGCGTTTGCAGTCTAACTATTATTCAACAAAGTCTGTCTTGTGTGTGGTATGGAAAAGGGTTTCTAGTCGTTTGATAATATATATATGTATTAAAAAAAAAAGACAGTAAATGTCTGTCTGTCGGATGGATGGTTTTTTTATGAGGAGATAGGAAGAAGAGAGAGAAAGAAAAAATGTCTTTGTTGATAATTAGAAAAATAAAATAATTTTCATTCTGTCGCTTTCATTAACTCTTTTTTTTTTTTTATAAATTTTGGTGGTCTCACAGGATGGATGTGTCAAATTAAGTACAAAAACGATTTTCCTTTTTTTTTTTATTGTTTGTTCGTTGAGTCCTTTTTTATTCTATTTGTGTCTGTCTCGTTAAAGTTTAGAGAGAAAAAAACAGGGACAGGTCTTAAAATGTCTGTCGGGTTCACATGAATTTAATATTATATTCACACCTAAAGAATATTTTTTTCTGTCTGTCTCAACAAATCAACACTTTAAATTTACATATCCTGATGTAAAAAGAAATGCGAATATTTTCGTGTATGTGGGAATACTAACTGCATAATTGGTCTTACAAGGTAAATGTTCCGGACTTTAGTAAACCCTTCAAAATTATCCCTTCCCAACCAAACGGCAAAGTTAAACTCCAAACTATAAAAAAGGCTAAAATAAACTCCACAAAACGGTCATTAACAAGGGCTGCAAATTGGATCGAAGACAAATGCGCATATACTTGTTGCTTTAAACTTTACACACGACAGGGACCCATACCATGCGCTTTTGCATTTTCATAACACAAAGTATTTGACACTTCTCGGCACCGACCGTTTTATCCAAATTCATGTGGCAAGACAAAGATCGAGACAACGGTCGTAGAATCGTTGTATTTTCCGATAAGCCCCTCTCTTCTACAGCAAATTTTATTCTTTTTCAATTTATCATCCGACACAAAAGTGGAGTCAAACAATAAAAAAGCAAGTATTTCCACTTTTGTGTTCATACGTTGAATAGTTGAATCCCCCCCTGCTCTGTCCTGCCAGATCTCTCATTACAAAAATATGATTTAGTATATTCTAAAATTGTTACTCAAAGTCGACAATCCAAATTATTTTTCAAAAAAATTAGTTAATGTCTGAAAGATGGATTAATTCGGATAAATTAATGCACCAAGTATGCATGCATCCTGGAATTATTTTTTTTAACTTCATGCATAATGAACTAAGAACAATAAAACGGTATTAGCTGCCGATACAAAGGAAGGTGAAGCATAGATGACAAATAAGATTTGGGTTCCAGAAGAAAGAGGCGGACTTCTTGGTTGTTATCTTAGTACTCTATAGCGAGTGGGTTCAGTGGGGATAGCACGAGATGCATAAAGTTTGAAATATTATCTGATGAATTTGAAATGAAATTCCAAGGTGACGTAATGCAAGCTGAGCTATCTTTGACATTTGACAAAAAAAAACATTTGACACACTGATTTAGCTTTCGTGTAGAAGAATTTGGTTCGTAACCCACCATTGCTAAATTATACAAGCCGAGGAAACGAGAAGATTTTGGGCAAAATAACGGCCGTCACAAGATATCAGTGATTGTTACGAACAATAAACTCTTGTCACTGTAGAATTACGTTAGATCTCTATCGCGCCTTAGTATTGCTGAATCTAAATACACAAAGACACTATCAAATCAAACTTTTATATTATATTTTTGTTTTTAAATAAATGAGGCTCAACTTTTCTATTTACTGATCACAAGCAAAAACAGACAATGTACATACTCTCTACATCACCCAATATTCATGAGGATCATCATCCTCCTCTTCATCATCATCATCGTCCTCATCCTCTTCATCGTCCTCGTCCTCATTACTCTCATCGCCACCAGCCATGCCCACAATATCCATATCATCATCAGACCCATCATCGTCGTCCTCACCCGCATTATCATCATTATCACTATCGTCCTGGATCCGACTCCTTCTTCTACTTGTTGGCAAAATCATATCAGAACCACCACCAAATGGTAAATCCTCAACCACATCCACTTGATTATTCGATTCATTCAACCGTAAATTCAACCCATGGGTAGTAGTACCACTAATAGAAACCCGTTTCCGACTATTTCCACTCATACTTCCAGATCGATGATGATATCTTCCTTGTAATGTAGTTAATTGTCGTAACGCAGTTTGTAATTTTTCCAAAATATCATGGCTATTTTGAATATCAAATCTTTTGGGTTTATTGATCATGGTTGAATCGGATTCAGTTGTGGCTTGTTTTGTATAATAATTGATCAATTTCATGATGACTGATGTGAAACCAAGTTTATCTAAATATTTTGCTCGTTCTTGGACTGTGAGTTCATCATCATCTTTCTTGGGTTCTTCGACTATTTCTTCTTCTTCTTCCATTTTGCTGGGTTTATCCTTTTCTGAATCATCGGAATCATCGATATATATTCTTTGATTGTTGGTGACATGTCTCGAACTATCAACGGTTTGGTAGACTTCGTATTCAGTACATTCATGGATATTAGATCCATAGGTGGAATATCTCCAAGTTAAGTTTATAATCACCCATACAATGGACGCCTTAACTGCGTTTAAGTTTGTATTTAACGCCACCTTAGAATTAAAATCCATTTTCTTTTCAAGTGATTCGGGAACCGTGAATGAAAGTAATCTTAACCAAATTAACAACAATTCTTCATTGGGGAATAAATCTCGTTTGATATTATCTATGATTGCATATTTATGATTTTCAATAAAATTTATTGATTTTAATAATTTCACATAATCATCATTTTGCATTAATTTCGTTAGGGTTTCATCATTATCGAAATTTGTATTTGGTTCGTTTAAAAACAATCTTGCATCTTTGATATTGTTACTCAAAAACTTAAACCATTGCGTGGGGAGTCTTAATCGTTTTTCATTCTTGACGAAATCTTGTTCATAGGCATTAATTAAAAGGGTGTTGAAATTTGGTGATCCTGCGGTGAAGTTTCGTAATATTTCAAATGCAACTATCTTTTGTTGAATTTTTAATTTAACAATATCGGGAGTATCTTGTTTGTCACTATCAACAAGTCCAATTCCATAACTAGCCTTTTTCAAAATGAAAATCAAGGCAAAATATTCCAATAATTCCTTTTTATTCTCAGTTGATTCATTAAACATAAAGTTTTGAATAACTTGCAAAATCTTCAATTGAACCACATTTCTTTGATAGATTTCTTCTTCAGATACTTTATCTTGATTTCTTCCACCACCATTGCCATAATCAGGTAATGAATTTTGATAAATTGTAGACAAACTAGACAACACATTTTCATATCCAATAATGATATATCTAAATGAACTGAAATCAAGAATGAAATTAGCCAACAAACCAATACAAATAGATCTATTATTAATTTGTTTCCTCTTATTGAAATTTCTATTAGTTGGGTCGTTATCTTTATTCAAATCATAAAAGAAATCAAGAATTTGATCCAAAGTCTCATATGAATGAATAATTTCCAATAAATTAGTCATAAACCCCCCAGGAGGAGAACTTATACTTGAAGAAGCTCCCGAAATACCCAATGTCGAAGATTGAACTACTGGGCTGCCACTGATACTCACATTAGGTCCTACATGGACATTCCCACCAATGCTGACAGATCCACTACTTCTTTCCGAATTGCCTGAAGGAGGCTTGTTTGGGTGGGTTTCATCTTCGATAAAACTATTAAAAGCGTTGCATTCAACAAAGAAGGTTCTTAAGGTAGCGACTGATCTTGAAATTGAGCGAGCAAAATAAAAGCAATTGGTGTAAATTTCTGAATCCATTAAGGAACGGATTATTCCCAAGTTTCTTCCAAACCATGGTAAGTCACTCTTTGGTACTGATGGTCTTTTTGATTTCTTCTTGGTATATAAAAGACGATAAACTAATTGTAATTGAGTCAACAAGAAATAATAATTATCGATAATTTCAAATATAATTTGTGGTAGGGTAATGGCTTGATTTGTTGCTTCTTGAGTTTGATTTACTATTCTGCTTCTATATTCTTCTGTTTTATTGGTATAGACACTTAACAAAAGCAACAAATCGGCAATATCACTTTCATCACTATCAATGGTTAACAACAAAGTGAAATCAACCAATATTTTCCCATTCTTGGAGTCTGATTTTAATACTTTAAATGCTTTCAACAATTGACTGGATTTAAAGCTTGCTTCTAATTTACGAACCAATTTGAAATCAAGATTGGAATCATTTATTTCATCATTCAATAATGGATATTGAGCACATAAATCTGCTAAAATACGAGCTGGTGAACGGAAAAAGGTCGGCATTTCACCAGAAGAACGTTTCGATTGAGACTTGTTTAACATAAGGCTTGCACCAGTTCCTGAGGAAGGAGCAGTTGCAGACTGATTGGAGGAACCAACTGAACCACGTTTGTCTGATTTGTTATATCCCGTAAAATCATCCTCTAAATCCAACATCGCTATAATTCTTGGGAATAATTTCTTATAACCATTGAAAATTAGTTTATCATCAATATTCTTTGATGGTCGTAAAGTATTTAAATATAAACTAACCAAGTTCAAAGCTGCCAAGCTTAATTGTCTATCTTCATACTTCACTAATAATAGCAAGGATAAATAAACATTCGCTGGTAAAACAACAATTGTTGACGAGTTTCTAGCCTTTGATATCGTGCCTGAAGACAATGATGTTACTATAGTTACATCATAATCATTTGCTTTCAGGAAACTAAGTATTTGAGCTGTACATGTTATCAATTCTAATAACAAGCTGGAATTTACTCCTCTACGAAGTAAAGATTTACTTAATTCAATATTAGGTAAACAAGGATCTTCAAATGCCATTTGGTGTAATATTTCTGGAGACAGGACAATATCTTCAAAGTGCATTTTGATTAGAATGTCACATTTATTTGAAAGTCTATTCAATAATGCTGTTAATAATGTGATAATTGTGTTATTACTCAAGTCATGTTGAGATAACAAAAGCGGTACCAATTTCAACAGCTTAATTAATAAAACTGAACTTATTTGAAAGACATCTTCCAATTTACTATCAGTTACAATTAATAAGGAAGTTATAAATCTCCATAATATGGATGAATTTATAAAATGATTTCTAATATTGGCTAAACCTAATAAAATATCTAAACTGTACCCAATCAAATTACCAACTTTACGTGTAATATTATGATCAACATAATTTTGGGTTGCATACAATTGAGGAATAAACTTTTCAACAAATCGATTCAATAGTTGAATTAAAGGATTAATAACTTCTTCAATCGAGCGTAAACATTTAGTTATATTATCGTTCTTATTTGTATTTACTTCAATGATGAAAGTACATAAGATATTCAATATTACCGCCTTCTTCTCCAAATCTTCCAAGAATTCAAAATTATCCACAGGTGAATCTGAATTTACAATTTCAAGAATCAGCCTATTAAATTCTTCCACCAAATGTTGAATAAATGTTATATCTCCTACTAATTTATATTTTAAATCTTTATTACCAATTAAGGATACTCTTAATTCATTGAAAGTATCGGGAGTAATTATATTCCCTTGATTAAGTAAATCTAATGGCATGACTTCGCTACTGTATTGCTTCGTTTGATTTATGGTGTTAGTAGTTATTAGTGGCTGTGTGTGTGTGTGTGTGTGTGTGATTGCTTATCTATAAATCTGGGGGGGAAGTAAGTAAAGGTGGGTGGAGTGGTTGTCAAAAAAAATGCGAATATTCTGAAATTTTCTTGATTGATTTTAAATTTTTTAAGGGGGGGGAGGTTTGATATTCAAAATAATTCTAGTCTTACAAAGATTTATTGAGTCACTCGTCTTACTTTCCTCATAATTTACTAACTTGGATTCCNCAAAGATTTATTGAGTCACTCGTCTTACTTTCCTCATAATTTACTAACTTGGATTCCAAGACAACTAAAAACAAGTCAACTGGCTTGTTTCTTTCTGATGGGATTAAACGCCATGATTCCTTTTACGATGTTGCCTTCGCTTAGCCGCCTCCCCACCCCACATTCTAGTGAGTCTATACTCGAAAAATGGAAAAACAATAGAGAGTAGATCATTTTCACTCCATCTTAACAAACTCTTTATAAAATGAAAGCATATATTATCTAAATGTCTATATATTTTAAATCTTACTACGCCAAAACTTTTGTGATTCAGCTGCTGGCTTACCTTTCTTTATATCTTCACTTACTCTGGTATCAGCATCAACTCGCTTAGGAATGTAATCCAAAATATCTGCCAACTTTTCATCATCCGGCAATCTAACGACCCCATTCTTATCAGCAATTATATAATCACCCGGATTGATTGTCAAAATTTGTTCATCAGCTTCTATGCCAATAGTCTTCACCTCAAGAGGAACATTAATACCAACTACCTTCACAAACGGTCCCGGGGCACTTGTACCAACGCCATAAGACCATACAGGATATCCTAAATCATTGTGCTCATCTAGATCCCTGATTCTGCCTAATATAACTGATCCATTGGCTTTTCTATACTGTGCTCGAGTTGACATCAACCCACCATAAAGCGCATTGTTAATTCTACAATATGGAGCCCATGTGGTTTGTAAAGATAATGGTAACCCTATAACAACAATTGCATCTTCTGGGACTTGGTCAATATATGCTTGCGTCACAGCTGGTCTTGGATCAGATAAAGGTGCATATAATACAGTGTACGCCTTCCCAACTGCCGAAGTCTTTCCTATGACTGGAGATTGATTGATCAAGTTGGGAATAAATCCACCATCTTTGATTCCACGTTTATTTAACGAGTCTGAAACATCACAAGGAGTGAATTTCGACAAGAAGGCGATCGTTTCGCTTGAAGTTATTGACTTGGAAGATGCCATTAGGTATCGCTTGAGTATAGAAAATGAAGAATTCTTCACCTTCATTTAGGCTCCTCCGTAATTCGGAGACGAAAAATTCTTGGGGTAATTCTTTGAATGGAAAAAAATATTAGGATTAATAAATATCATTTACAGTATACTACAAATTGTATGGCTATATACAGATATCATACTCAAAGAGACTCAATCATCAAGACTGATTCTCTTTCTCAATCTTTCATGTCTCTCAGGTTGACTTTGTATAGGAACTTCACTCTCATTGGTATTAACTTGTGGCTCTTCTTCCAAAGATGCCCCACTATCAACTTTAACCACATCCTCAATTTTAGCTGTTTTGGTAGGAACACTAAAACTATCCCCCAAATCCTTCAAGAAATCGGGATGTAGTTGATAATCAAGAGGAATCGACTCTTTAGAGACTCTTGCATCTTTTAAATCTTTGATAATAGCTGTCAAAGTATGTGGATGAACAACAGTCCTTAGGTTTCCGGAAGGAGCCTTACCATCAGTAACGGTCTTGTCTGCTCCTAGTTGATTTTTCACTTCTTGTTCACCTAAATCATACAACGCCTTTCTTGTTCTTAATTGTTGTAAGGCACGATTATTCCTATCTAATAAAGGATTGAACTCCACAGTATGGATTTGTTTCCCAAGTTTAGTTAATGAATCAACAAGTCCCTGTTCATAGGTTGAAGTTCCTTCAACATGTGGATCTCCACCATCTCTACCTTCAGGCACTGATGAAGATGGTTCATTAGATTTCAATTTCTTTTGTAAGAATTTTGCATCAAAAGATGCCGCGTTGGATCTATAACTTGGTTGGTCTTGATTTGGTACTTTTTCGGGTATAGTAGGAGTTTCTGGCGTTGATTGTTCAGCTATATGCTTTTCATATCTTGCTTTCAAGTTTTCCGAAGGTAATTGATTTATATTGGTAGTTCTATGAATAGTCTTTGGAGCATTCTCCGACACGACTTTTGTGAGCTTTCTTCCTTGTTTAGATGCAGATGCTCCCATACTGAGATATAAAATATACTATTGAGATAAGGTAAGATTAATCCTTTGCTTGCTATGTGGTCCAATGAATCACTCATCAAAGTAATCAAAAATTTTGATATTGGGTCGCGCACTACAATTTCTTACTTGGAAGAGGGTCCACAGGCTTTACAGATTACAAACAATGATTTATATGACATTATGCATTTTTAAATAATATACATTGACTTCCATTGAAAGTCTTCTATTTAACTCTTATCCTTCTTTGACTTCTTCTTTTCCTTTTTCTCTTTCTTATCCTTCTTATGCTTCTTTTCTTTCCCGGAAGAAGATTCATCAACCTTAACCTTCTTCAAAACTTTACCTTCAGCAACGTCTTCATCCCCCGCTTCGTCTTCTACCTTAAAATCATTGGCCCCATACCCAGTTGGGAAATGTCTCATTCTTAAATTATCTATTTTTGGAACATCTTCTCTTGGTATAACAACTTGATCAAAATTAATCTTTGGGATCTTTACAGTTTCTCTAATGTTATAAACACGACTTATATGTTGACCACTAGATTTGAATGCCTTAGAATGCTTGAAGAATATAGTATGCTTACCTGAATCATCATCTCCAGTGGCTGTACTCAGCAAAAATTCTTCATCAACTTTATATGAATTTCCATCGACTTTGAAAGAATCCGGGCCGGATTTGATAGAAGTGGCAGTGAATGACACGGGTAAGGTCTTTAAATCCTTCAATGGGAATCCCTTTGGTGCTTTGATTAACCAGATTTCTTTCTCCTTTAGGTTTTTGATATCTAATTTGGATTTGTTTTCAAGTTTATGGTAGTGCTTTGGCGCTTTGAATTCTTGATCTTCTTCATCAGAAGATACGTCTGAATCCTGGACGTATTCACTTGATTTATAGACTTTTGGGGCCATTTTGGTTAGTAGATGATGATGGTGATTGGAGATGCTCCTAGTCATCGCAGATTCGAAAAATTTAAATGCCAATGAAAAAATATTAATGAGCGGGCTGGAACATCCAAACATCAATACAATATATCCAATATGCTGCATGGATCTAGAGGTTTATTGGGAAAAGGAATAGAGAGTGAAAAGTTGTAAGAAATATGCTATTGTCGTTAGTTTCATGCGATTTCTGTAACAATTTTGGTGTTTTGCTTGATTGCAAAACTTTCTTTTGAGGGTTTATAAATTTCATGAATTTTTTGCAATCATTTTGCTCAATTAATGCTATGTAGATCTACTTGAAGTTCAACTGGCACTATATTTCAGAAGAAAGAACTACAATAAACATCAAGAGGTATTCCTCTGCACTAAGTAGAAGGGACAAACAAGAATTGGTAGAAGAATCATTGTTTATCTTCACAATTGAACATTCCTCAACGTTTTGCAAGTACCTATCTGCAATGTAACTTGACTACAAAATGCTTGACCATACTCTTTCTTATTATTGAAGTTGTGCAATCGTGCGTTGTGTGTCTCCTATTTTCGAAGTATAAAACGAAACCGTCTATACTCTTATCTTGAATATATCGCACCAAAGCACATCGATGAATTGATGCCCCCCTATTTCTTTGATCCCCACACGGCTTTTTAAATTAGTATGGTTTCTTTTGCATCGTAATTGCGAGTCCAACTGACGAGCCCGAGAAAGAAAGAAGAACAAAAATATGACGTAATTTATGCTCGAGTTTCACATATTTTTAAAGAGTCAGGAATTTATCTTTTATTTTTCTTAATTATCAATTCAAAAATGAAGCCGCTTATGAATCAATTAAATTTGGCAGTGCGTAATAAATTTGAGCCATGAATATTTTTTAGATTATTTTGATTGTTTCTCAATTACACGCTTACGTAAGCGCATAAACCCTTGTATGGAAAAATTTGCAATAGTTCATCCAGAATCCTTATCTAAGAAATCAAAATTATATAAATATGAAGAGTTCTTCATGGAAATAGGAATTGGTTTTGTCTTTACTTTATTATTCATTCAATTACAACAATAACAACAACTATATCACAATGGGTTTCGTTTCACAAGATTCAGGAATTGCAGCCTCAATTTTCCTTGGACTTTATGTCATTTATATCTTATTCGCCATAAGAGTTGTTTATCAACGTGGGTTGAAAACCACCTATACTTCGCTTTTGGTATATGGAATTTTAAGAACAGCTGGTCAATTATGTGGTGTTGCCTTTTCAGCATTAGGTTATGAACATTATCAATGGTTAATTGCGTATTTGGTATTCAGTGCCGAAGGGTATTTAGTGTTAATCTTGAGTGGTTTCCATTTCATCGCCAATGCACAAGTTGCATCATTTGGAAGATCTTGGATTAGACCTGAAAAGGAAGAAAAAGAAAGAAATATGGCTGGTGCTAGTAATCCTTTTGATTATTTACGTTCCAGATATACAATTGATAAAATTTTCCATCTTTCTTTGATTGCTGCCACCGCATTTGTCATTTCTGGTGGTACTATGCTTGCTGGTGATGATCCAACTGAATTGACTACAAGTAATATTACAACTTCAAAGGGTTTACGTACTGCTGGACAAATTATCTTTTTAGTAATGACCATTTTTGTCATTTATTTAGCCAATTACGCCTACTTTGTTGAAGGGGTAAGACATTGTAATATCTATACTGTGTTGATGGTATCTCCATTCATTTTAATTCGTGGTATTTTTGGTGTTTTGTCCATTTATATCCAAAAGATGAACTACTTTGATATGTCAAATTATACTAGCTCCGGTTTAAGTTCACAATTTGTCACTTATGAATATGTTTTAGCAACAACCATGGAATTCACAGCTGCTTGTATTTACATCAGTACTCACTATATCGAAACCAGATCTCAACAAAAGATTGCTCATATCGAAGAACAGAACGATGTTGAAACCGAATCTTCTGAAAAATGATTAAATATCTGACTATATATGCTTGTCTTTCCTTGTTTATACATTAATATAGAGCTTACAAATTGAATCTCGTAAGTAAATTTGTGGATCATCTCTACATGTTCTACGCACTTTAAACTCTGAAGTTTGATTAACAATTTTGTGTAATTAATCAGTTCAATTAATCTCTGAAGTATAAAATCCCACACAGCCACTAGCGTGACATATGTGGGACAAAATACACAACAAGAATTTACGAGTTAGGAGAACAAATGACAACAAAAGTAATTTAACAGGACCCTGAGGCAAGTATTCGCCGGCGTCATGTTTTTCTTGACAGGGCTGCGCCAGGTTTAAGCAAAAGTTTATTTCTTCGCAGCTTCGCTAACAGGGCTCAACTAATTATCTGAGCCACTGGCTCCGGTAGGTACTCTTTCGGCGGGAAAGATTCTTATTTCCTTGGAAATAGTTTTTATGATAAAATTTTGCACCAATTGAGTTTCACCAGCCGTGCAAGTGCCAAGCCTTTGGAATTTAGTTTTTGCAGCGCATTTAGATTGACAGACTTTGGAACGTTGGAATTGGGACGCGCTTTCTGTTTCGGAGAAGTGGGGCACAAAGAAAAGATGGCTATAAGAACCGATTATTCGGCATTTTGCATTGCATAAAGACAATATCCCACTTCAATTGCATGCTTCCAACATATCCTTATTCAGAACTTTCTCCATAGCAATCATGACATGGCATTCTCAAGTCTCATATAATAGACAATAGGTGCTTCGTTAATTTAAACCAGGTTAGGCTGACGACAATGAATGGGAAACTTGTGCCGTGATATTGTTCCCCTCTTGTATCATATGCAATTTGACCAGAGTGGCTGTTGTTGAATGAAAACAATGGGCAAGTAGTATATGCAGGCACTATTGGCGATGGTTTGAGGCTTATTTTGCTTAATCCCGTTCGTAATTACACACCTTATAAGCAGTATGTTCGAGTATTTTTCCGTTGATTCAGAACTGTTCCTGTCTGAGCTCCGAGATCTTGAAGTCAACATGTAACAACCATGAGCTATACTTGGTACACCTCTTTCGGTTGGTCAACCACCTTCGTAATTTACCTTCAAACGGCTTTGCACAACGGAACAATAAAATGGAAGTCGGATATATTCCCTATTTCAAAAGTATTAATTCCGACACAATGGGAAAATTAACAAAGGGACGCAATCATCATCATGCATTGAAATAAACAAAGAAACCTTTCAAGCCTCAAATGTAATATTGTAACAATTTTCGTATTATTTGATTCTTTCTTTAAAGCAATATAAAAAGAACAACACCCCCCCCTGGATCCTCCATCTTCTAGCCCAATTCAGGATATAGCAGACTAGCAACAGATAAGCAACACACAAATAAATCAATGGCATTTATTTCTCAGAATTCAGGAATTGCAGCTTCCGTATTCCTTTCATTATACGTGATATATACTGCATTTGCTATCAAAGTAGTTTATGAAAAAGGTTGGAAATCAATCTATACTTCATTACTCATCTATGGGATACTTAGAACTGCCGGTCAATTATGTGGAGTAGCATTTGCTGCCTTAGGTTATTCCCATTATCAATGGTTGATTGCCTACCTCGTGTTTAGTGCCGAAGGATACTTTGTATTAATCTTAACTTCATTCCATTTGATCGCACAGGCACAGATTGCTGTATATGGAGATTCATGGATTAGACCCACTAGACAAAAACGAAAGGAAAATATTAGAAATGCAACTACTTTAAGAGAGAAGGTTCGGGCTAGGTATCCTCCTGCTTTGGTGTTTCATTTATTATTGATTCCGGCTAATTCATTGATTATTGTAGGTGGATCGATTTTGGCAGGACAAGATCCTCTTAATCCGGATCAGAAGAAGGTGACATTGTCAAAGGCATTGAGAACTAGTGGACAGGTTGTGTTTTTAACCCAAACTTTCATTGCTATTGGATTGGCTGTTTATGTTTTTGTCAAAGAGAGACTAAGACATAGTAATATTTATAGTATATTTATGGTATCCCCGTTTATTTTGGTGAGAGGTATTTTTGGGGTTTTATCAATCTATATCCAAAAAATGAATTATTTCGATATGTCAAATTATACAGCTACAGGATTAAGTGAATCATTTGTGGCATTTGAATATGTTTTGGCTACTACTATGGAATTTATATCTGCTTGCATTTATATTGGAAATTACTACTTTGATTCAAGATATACTGCGAAAGTAACAAATGCGGAAGAAGGAGAAGGATTATATGAGAAGGATACTGACAGTAATCAGAAAATCCATTAATTAGTCTTATAAGGTTTGTGTTTATATAGTATATTTATGAATAATGTTTTAGATAATAAATTACTTACAACTATTGAAAGTCAATTTACATATTGACTGGATATTGCAAAATTTGTGCTACCAAAGTGACATACTCCAGCTTTACTCTATACCACCTATCATCCGAAAGAGGAATACCCAGCTATCTAAACCTCTATGAACTTTAAAGTCTAAATGTAACAGAGACAATAAACCAATGTGGGACCCTTGATCTGCCTGAATAATGGTGCAAAAAAAAAAAAATAACCACCCGAACTCTGCATGAGGTACAATTTTAAAATTATGACGTGAAGGGCACTGTGTTGCATAAAACACACATCGAGATGATCATCGTCTTTTCTCACTTACCCCCGATTTCCATTTATAATACCTCATCAACTACAGCAGATGACCCTTCAAACAAAGACAAGGAATACACCAGTAGTCGGACTTCCCCTGAGATGAAATAATGTCATGAGGGTTTCTGCAGCTCTACCATTTTAAAGTTTTTTTTTTGCGGCCATTCTTTTGATTTGGAATTCCGACCAAAAAACGTGTAAAGATTTTATTTTGTCTTCTCTTGTTTAGACGACTAAAACCGGTTTTCGTTGACCGTTGGTGTGTAGGACTAAAAAAAAAATAATGTTGAGTTCCCTGAATTCTCCGGGATTTTTCCCCGTGGGTTTTTGTACTATTCTACGGTGAGCTCGAAGTAGGTTGTTAATTACTAGTTTGGGATCTCGAGACTAATTTTTAAGATAACGCGTTGATTTTGAGATCGGTTGGTGAGACTTGGTTCAAGACTGTTTCATTGTGGAGATCAGACGTATCTCCAGTTTGACAAACAAACGTTTCTAACATGAAATCGAACTTCCCACTTTATAGATAATTATTGAAAAAAAAAACGCGCATGGCAAATCATCGCAAAATTGATTTAATTTAATTTTCAGTTACACATCTGGAAGTCTAATAAAAATTGATTGATTTTAATTAAATATATACTAAAAGAAATATAAACACACACAATAGATAGCTAATTAGTAGTATATACACAACTCTGAAAGTTAACACATCCAAGGGTCAATTCTTAGAAAAAAGTCAATAAGTAAAAAATAAAACAGTCTATCAATTCGGAGGAAATAAATAATAATAATAAATATAGACTTTTCTCTCTATTTCACATACACACCCTAATGGGAAGGATCCCTTTCAAACTACACCTCTAAAACATCTAATGCAGCTGCACCCGAACAAACTACAAGCAAGCTTATAATTCAACGGCTGGAGGACAACCTAAGGTTTTCTTTAAAGAACCATAGATGGTGAATTGTAAAGAGGTTAAAGTACCAACCATAACCAATCTGGTAGGTAAACCGGTGAAAGAACCAGCGAAACCTAATTGCTTAGCTAATTGAACCAATAAACCAACGGTGGATTGACCTGGAGCCTTCTTGGTCTTGTTAACCTTGGATAATAAAGTATCAGCAGGTTGAGAAACAATAGCGGCGGCACAACCGGCGATAATACCGGCACCTAAGTTAACAGCAGTGGATGCGGAGGTGGATAAATCTTTCTTTGGGGTTGGGATAGCGGCATAGATGGCTTCGGCGGCTCTTTCGAAAACCAAGAATTTAGCAATATTATACGGAATTTGTTTGAATAAGATTGGGGTGAAACCGTTATAGAAAGAACCAACACCTTCTTCCTTTAAGATTCTTGAGAAACCACCAATTAAACCATTGGCAAAGGTTGGTTGAGAAACTAATCTGATTCTAGTAGCTTCCAAAGGACATAAAGCAATATCAGCAAAGAATTCAGCTAAAGCAGCAGAACCAATATAGATAGAGTTCTTGTATTGTTTAGCAGTGTCAAAACCTAAGTTTTCAATAAAGGTCTTTTTGAATAATTCATAACCACCGAATTTGAAGGCACCTTGTAAAGAATAACCTAAAACAGTTGGACCTAAACCAGTTAAAAGAGCACCGGCACCTTCACTGGCAATGACTTGTCTGAAAGAACCAAACATACCTTTGTTGTAGACAGTTGGTTCTAATTGAATTCTGGTTTTGACAACATCAATTGGAGTCATAGCACCGTGGGTAAGACCACAACCCATGGCACCGGCTAAAGCGAAAGAAGCATAGTCTTTGACTGAGAATTGAGGGATTTGCTTTTCAGACATTGTTATTATGAGGAATGTTTTGTAAAGGAACTAAAGATATAGATTACAAGAAGAAAGAGAAGAAGAGAAGAAGTTTTTATAAAAAAAATTTCATCGTCGAAATGAATTTTGTAGATTACGGTTTTTCTTCATCAGAAAATTTTTCAACGCTTTTCTGGTTTTGTGTCATTTTTAAATTCTTTGAAAGGTGCAAAAACTTTAATAAAAAAAATATTCCTCCGACTTCCGATCAGACCGGAACTATTTCATATTCTTTTGATCCAATTTGATTGGTTCAAAATATTTTATTGCCGGGGTATATGTCTCACACCGCCGATATCAGATACTTACACATACTTTTGTATATGTTTCATTTAAATATTATTTTGCAATCAAATGATAAGTTACCACCTTATGTACTACACATACAAGAGAACCGGTTAGCGTTATATTAGTATCTATATAAACTACATAATAAACATTATACTTTTTAGCATTCCAAATTACAATAATCCCTTATCCTACAATCCACATCTCTCTCCCTCCCTCTTTCACACTAATTATTTATCCCCAAACTCTTCAAAATCTCATGATTAGTCAAAGCACACATCGCCGCCTTCTGCCCAGCAATCTTCTTATTCGAATCATATCCAATCCCCAACACGATCCCATTCACTTTGACATTCGCTTGAAATTCATTACCCAAATGACGATATTCATAGAGGGGGGTTAGATGATATGGACCCAATTTGGCATATAATTCATTTTTGGAATTTGCATCCACGCCGGCCTTTATTCCCGATCCGATTGTGGGTGGTGTATATTCTTCCGATGGTGGTTGTGGTGGTTGGGGGTGAGGTTTTTGGGAAAAGGTTGCGAGTGGTGCTAATCCATACGGTAATGGACCTGGTGCGTGTTGTGAATTGTCAATTGGGGGGACGTTATACATGGGTCCTGGTGGTTGATAGGTTGGGAATGATAGTTTACGTGATTGATTAATGGTTGGAGATGCTTGTTGTTGTTGTTGTGGAGGTGGGACAGTAGGCGGTGGAGGTGGAGGTGGGATGGCCGGGGATATATCAGGATACGTTGATGTTGGGAATCCTTGTGGTGGATTGGGGTTGGCAGATTGTGTAGGCCTTTCGGGAGATGAAGCAACATTTGGTTTAACTGGAGGTGTTGGTGAATTAGTTGACTGTGTAGACCCAGGTAATCCCGGTGGAGGAGGTGGGATTGGTAATTGCATTGAATTTTCAAGTAATCCTTGTTTTCCATTGGAATTCGTTTCATAATTTTGATATAACATTTGAATTATTTTTATAATCCGTTCTTTATCATTTAAAATATCATTAGCAGCTCTATTTTTAGCTTCCTCAAAACTAATTGCCGAAGATCCAATTCCTAAAGGTTCACCATTTACTAATACTTGAGCAACATAAGGATCAGATCCAATTTGAACAATTTCATAATTAATTTCTTCTTTGGGGATCTGATAAAAATTTGTAGCCAGTCTAAATAATAAATTCAATTCTGCTAATGAAATACTTGCAGTTGGATTATATTGATATAAAGTATCTTGAATAATTGGTTCATATAATTTCTTAATCCATAATTTTATATCTTTCATTGAATAACCTTCTATAGATAATCCGGCAATATAACTTAAGAATATATTTCCAATTACATCTAATTTAGAATCTAAATCAATATTTACCGAAAGGTTATATTTTGCATGATCAACTAAATTATAACCAAATGAAAATTTTGTTAAGATATGACTTGCCATTAATTTATGACGTATTACAATTAAATCATCATCATATAAATTTGGAAACATTTCATCTAAAACTTCAATCAATACTAATTCCATAATTGATTTCCCCTTGATTGCTAATTTTGAATTATGACTCTTGTTGAAATCATGAGTTTCTGCCAGTTCTAAGAAATCGGAAGGTTGTCTATATGATTTATCAGTTGTTATCCGAAGTAATAATGGTTGATTATTTATAGTTGGTAATGCTGGCGGATAAGAGTAATATGATCCTAAGATATTGCCCTTGTTGTTGTTATCTATTAGATTATCAGGATCTATTGGTGGATTATAAGCTAAGAAATGATCTAAGAATTTATCAGCATTATTAGATTTGAAATTTATTTTACATAATGATTGAATTAAAGGTAGGTTACCAGAATCATATAATTGACGTAATCTAACCCCTACTTTAGTTTGAGGAGATAATACACTTTGTTGGAATCTTTCTATATTAGATTTAGATTCTCGTTGAAATAGGATACTATTTGGTGAATTCAATAGCGTTAACCATTGGCGGTATTCATCAATAGTGGGTGATTTACTAACAATACTATTGAAAGTAGCTTGTAATTGTGATACACTCCCTTTGACTTGATGTAGATCATCACATATATTTAGTAATGGTTTGCTTAATGCTGTTGTCATTGTTTATACGCTGTCTAATAATTGGATTAAATAAGTAATTGGAGTTTATTTATGTTTCTTTTGCCTTTTTATTCTTCAATGGTTATTAATTATTCTTATTTTTTGTTTTTTTCGTTTGGCTTGCTACAGTAGAAATTGAGTTTAAATACACGACCTTTCAATTTAATGTTTTATGGTTGCGGCTAGTACACACATTAGTTTAATATGGAATGTTACCAACCACAGTTGTTGGTTCCTAGCCTTCCTTAGTTACATTTGAAAGTAGAGTACTACAATCAGAACTATTAACAATGCCTTCTAAATTAGTAGAACAACATTTCTTTAGGGATACAAGAATTGATATTGGTGTAGATTTGCCATTTGCCGCAAAATTATGGTAGAAACTTTTGGTTAAACCAAAAGAATGATTCATTTCTGAGTCCTTGTTATTAACCTGTATAGAATTTACAAATTTATGGTGCTACCATATAGACATATATATAAATATAATAACTGATTTATATGATAAGCAAGAATCCTCTTAGTTTTATTTTTATTTTTATATTTAAATTATTTGGTGAAAAATACATGTAAGATATAAATAACTTCTACTTACATTCCATTAGAACTTCTAATACAATATTCTTATAAACTGTGGATTATTTATTTATTTATTTATCGTGTGATATTTTAAGTAATTAATAATATGTTGTAATATTTAATTTATTTGACTCTTACTCTTACTCTTACTCTTTACTCTAAATATAGAAATACCAATAGGAATTATTGTTTTTTTATGTATAATTTGTATTATTGCATGTGTATTATGTTTATGCACTTGTGATTTAAATATTTACGATTCACTATAAAAATACAAAACAATAATATTTATATAGAAACATACATTTGACAAACATGATTTATTTTTAGTCTATAGGATTCATTTAGTACAAATCATCATCCATTCCCCCCCTAATCAATTTAGTTTACATTAATTTCATAAGCTAAAAATAACAACCGAAAAAATTTAGAAATATTTTTTACAAGTTATTTTTTTGAATTATTAGGCGGCGGCTTTATACTAAAAGAGCAAGCAATAAATCCGTTGTTGTTTCTTTCACTTTCTTTCTCTCTGTCTCCTTACTTCTTGATACATTTAAAGGGGGGGGTTTAAAACCAAATGACTAAGACAATATATATATGCATATATGGCTTAAACATCAGTAGTCTGTACCAAGAATGATACTGTTATTCTTGTTTAGTTCGTGTAACCGCCTCACCATCATCTTGTGTAACATCATGATCATCATTTTGATCTTCATAAAAATTAATCTCGTAAAAAATTTTTAAAAAAAAGAAATTGTTTTTATTAATAAGTAAATAAAAAAAATATTTGAAAAATTTTTTTTTTCTTGTCGCTGTCAAATCAAAAAATACAGTTTAAACTGTTTTTTTATAAATAAAAAAAAAAATATAAAAAGTTTTCAATTTTCACTTTACTTTCTTTCTTTCTTTTCTCTTTTTCTAATTCTTTAACTGTTGTTATACTTTATCAAATCAAAAAGGGGATATATAAATACTTGATAATCTGCTTAGCACACACTTACTTTTATACTTTTAGCTTTTTTACATTTATAAGAATAACAAGTCACACGATGGCCTACTGACAGAAACCTAAAAAGTAACATATAACCATACTAAGTTTCTAATATCCCCCCACAATATTAATATTTATCTGTTTTTTATTCTTCCTTATATATTACCCCAATAGGAAGTCTTTTGTTTTTGATATACATTAAACTAACTACTAATTGAATTTGCATAGTTCATTCCCCCCTCCCCCACTTTTAACGAACGCTACCAATTTCAAATAAACAAACTACAACAACTATGAACAACAACAACAACAACAATGATACAATGATCGTCACCGATTATTACGACGACAACTTCGTCCCCGGTACAACCAACGTCTTTTTCTCCAACGATCAATCCTCAATCTCCAGTGGCCGTCCCTTGAAAAGAAACAAAGATGGAATCATCTTATTACCCCAACCTTCCGATTCACCCAATGATCCATTAAATTGGTCCACGTCAAGAAAAATGTGGCATTTCATCTTAGTATCCTTCATCACCGGTCTAACTGCCGCCACTTCAAATAGTGCCGGTGCCGCCCAGGACTCGTTGAATGAAGTATATGGAATCTCATATGATGCGATGAATACCGGTGCTGGTGTATTGTTTATATTCATTGGCTGGAGTTGTATTTTCTTCGCGCCCGCTAGTTCGTTATATGGAAGGAAAATCACCTATATTATCTGTTTGGTAGCTGGGACTGCTGGGTCCGTTTGGTTTGCGATGTCGAGGAGGACTTCGGATACGATTTGGAGTCAGGTGTTTGTCGGGATGTCGGAAGCTTGTGCTGAAGCACAAGTGCAACAATCGCTTTCGGATATTTTTTTCCAACATCAATTGGGGTCCGTGTTGACGGTTTATATTTTGGCGACTAGTATTGGATCTTTCTTGGGTCCGTTGATTGCGCATATTATTTCCTTGCATCAATCATTTAGATGGGTTGGTTGGTGGGGAGCGATTATTTGTGGGTTTACGATTGTGCTTATTTTGTTTGCCTGTGAGGAGACGGTGTTTGATAGATCGAAATATAATCAAGTATTGGATTCTTCAAGAGTTGATCAACAAGAACAAGAACAACAAGAACCACTTGAAGAAAAGGAAGAATTGAAGAAGACTGAATCAATTGGTCAAACATATAGTTATGAAAACACCAGTGATGTCATTGTCGCTGATCAAGAATCCAATCAAGAAAAAATAAAACCATATCTCGAACGTATGGCAATCATTACCCCTTCTCCATATTTAATCGGATCGGGATTCAAACAATATATCCAAAGATTCTTTATCTATTTCAAAGTCTTCACCCTCCCTGCCGTCTGGTTATCCGGTCTCCTTTGGGGATTGCAAGATGCATACATGACTTTTTTCTTAACCACCCAAGATACTTATTTCGGTAGTCCACCTTGGAATAAATCCGAAACTGGAGTCGCGGTAATGAATGTGGCCACTTTAATCGGGGCCGTGATTGGATGTATAATGTCCGGTTATTTTTCTGATAAACATGTCTTATGGATTGCGAAAGGTAACAATGGGATTATGGAACCGGAATATAGATTATATTTATTATTTATCACTTTGATCATCTCCCCTGCCGGGTTGATTATGTTTGGTGTCGGCGCGGAAAGAGAATGGCCCTGGCAGGTGATTTATGTCGGATTGGGATTCATTGGATTCGGATGGGGGTCGATTGGTGATACTGCTATGAGTTATTTGATGGATGCATATCCTGCGATTGTTATTCAAGGGATGGTTGGGGTTTCGATTATTAATAATACTTTGGCTTGTGTTTTTACATTTGTTTGTTCTCCTTGGTTGGATGGAGCAGGGACGGCGAATACATATATCGCGTTGGCGGTGATTGATTTTGTTAGTATTGCTGGTATTATCCCGTTTTTATATTGGGGGAAGGATTGTAGAAGAAGAACAAAGAAATTATACGTTGATATGGTTGAATTGACCCAAGGGATGGGTTAACCCAGGTTTGGATATATATATATATTCATTGATTTTATATCCAGTAGACATACATTATACATTTATTAGTTTTCTTTTTATAATAATTACAAAATAATAATCAAAATACAATCTAAACACTTTGAAGGCATCTTCTTTATTTATGACTGTTCATGTGATCTCTATTCCATGTTAATCTCATCATTAACTGAAGATTCTCTCCCATCTTCATTAGTATCAGTATTCATATAATCACTCAACTCTTTATCCAATTCCTCAGCACTCTTTTCAACATGTCTTCCAAATCTCCCCCCTCTACCTTTTTTAATATGCTTACCCCTATATCCACCTCTCCCACCACTACCACTCCCTACTCTTTCAACCATATCCCCCGCGCCTCTCTCACGCACAGGAAGACTTTTTATCCGATCCGCCAAACTAATCGCATTCTCAACCACCAAAATCTTCCCCATCGCCTTCTTTCCATCATATTTCTGGATCGCTTCCGAATTGCTGATAACACAATCTTTCTGGAAACAGACATAGGCAATACTATCATTCACCGCATCAAATTTAACAAAATCAACATCATTTATACTACCAAACAATTGAGATAAATCTTCTCCATTTAGGTCCGGATGGATGTTTTTCACTCTTAGGACTGGTCTTGGACCCGCGAGGGAGGCGATATCACGGGGGAGGGTGGAGTTTATGGATTTGGTGAGTGGGTGGTGATAGGGTGGGGAATGGGGTTTATGGATTCTGGCACCGGTTGGGTGTCTTCTGTATTGGCCATGGCCAGGGCCACCACCACGACGATTGGAGGGGCCGCCTCTTCCTCGGCGTGGAGAGAATCTTCTGCCTGAGGATGAGGAGGATTTGGATTCGCCGATTATGTCGTCTAATGATTTTTCTAATATGTCGGACATTGTTTGTTTATATGGGGGGTTCGATAAATTAATTCAATGAATGATTGTTGTTGAAAAAAAATGAATGATAATTTTTTTCTTTCTTTGGAGGTTTTAAATTAAAAGGTGATCAATTTTTTTCGCCTGGTGCTGGTAATATAGATTTTCAATAAAAGACATATTGGATTGTCAAATGAAATTAAAGAATTGGAATCAGTAACTGTTGGGACTAAGACATAGTAGAATAATCTATAGAAGCCAATCAATCGTCTCCACCAAAAGTAAGACCAGGATGAATTAATTGCATATCAACAATGGCCAAGTTGTAATGACGAAGCAAGAACAGGAGAGATGAAAAAGATACGGAGACGAATTTATAGAAAATGGCCCACGACGATCAAAATTCCGAATATTTATATTTGAAGTGATTGAATATTTGCGATAGCGGGTAACTAAGAAACAATCATCTTCACAAGAAGACGTCAATATTGGTAAGTTATTGTAGAGAATTGGTAACTAAAATTATGACGAACATTTAAGAAGTTTTTTAATTAGATCAACGAACAACTCTATACTTGTCCTTTTGCCGCAAATTGGACTGAGCCATGAATGTGGGAATACGCCAATGAGTACACCATTATAATACTGGTACTACCTTATTGTCACACGAAAAGTTATTCCAGACTTTATCAAGGAGAAGTACAAGCAGGCTGGTGTAGTCATTAGTGTATTCCCAGGGTCATGGCTAAGTCCAATATTGACGGCATTGGGCCAAGTATGCAGAAGTAACAATTTAAACAATCGGAGGAAAATCAACATGATTTTACATATGATACGGGTTTACAACTTTGGAGATGATCAAAAATGATAGAGAAGCATATAGTGATTTGAAGAAAAATTGCTTATACTCCGATGGTAACAATTATAGTATTGAATATTGGCAACAGTAATCTAATCAGAATTCCCATTAGGAATAAAAAGCAATTATTCTTTTTTAACTCACTAGGTGCTTCTCTATCAAGATAACTTCTCAAGAGTGAGTCCAACGCAATTATTTAGAAAAGACGACTCTTCAGGGATGATGCATAGAGTATAATATATATTATATACAAAATAGAGCGGTTCATATGGCTGATGAATATATTGGACATCAACACAAATGAATAGGATTCACAATGTTTCTACTATGCGCCTAGTGAACCCAAGACATGAAATGAAATTGAATTGAGTAGATTCGACGGGGTACAGAAACAGTAATGCTAGAATAGTTCATAGATACAATAGAATTATTATCAATATTATTGTAATTAAAGTGTAATATTCTTTTACTTTTAATGCAAAACCTGTAAGTACATGTATGTCTGGATGAGTGATTTGCATATTGAATGAGAGTTTACAGTTTTCAAAGGATACACTTACCATAATACTAGATCCTGACAGATATAGATGACAGCTACGGGTGTAGACAAACTACTCAATATTCTAAAATGAATTAAACTAAATAAACAATATACAAAACACAACCTAATATTTCTTCTTACTAATAGTTTCAAATTTATCCGAAATTCTATATTTAATACCAACAACTTTGGTACCAGTACTATCATAAACTTGTTGTTTCTTTAAGAAATCCAACTGAGCCAATCTTGGCCAATCAACAAATTGATAACCATCTTTAATCATATATAATAATCCTCTAACCCCAAATAACAAACATCCAGTAATAATCACTAAATTTCTAATATCAAATATAGATCCACTTGGATAAACCACAACTGCCAATAATGCCAAGAATGATGTTCCTACTAAATATGGTAATAATTGAATATAAGCTGGACGTCTATCAATAAAAGGAGATTCAACTCCTTCTTGAAATGGTCTATATTTGCCCAAAAATAAATCATAAGAATCTTGTCTACTACCATCCCGGAAATTATTTTTAAAATAACGAGTAATTGAATTTGATAAATCACTTAAATTCCCCCTATAGGTTCTTTTCCCCAATCTTGTAAAATCAGTCTTTAAAGCACCCGTGCCTGAATAAGCACAAGATACCGCATCAGCATTATCAGCCCAAAAATTCTGGAAAAATAAATTAAATTTCGGATCTTGTTTTTCAAATGGTTGATGTAATAATTCTTTTGTAATATATCCAGTTTTAATGAATTGGTTTTGTAATACCCACCGACCAATTGTTGATTGAACAACATTGGTTCTATCTAAACAATCCATACAATTTGTTCTTATGATTTTTGATTGGGTGGAAATGATTTTATGTTGTGTTAAATCATAACAAAAATAATTATCACTGGTATACCCTAATTGAATTAATCGATCTAATAATAAATTAATTCGATCATATCTCATTCCTTTACATTCATGATGGAAATCAAAATAAATATAATTTACATGAGATTTTAATGATTCAGGCAAATTATCAACAGCAGTTTCATAAGCTTGCTTAACGGGTAATTCATACCCCTTTTGATTAACTAAATTGACTAAATAATTATCACCATATAATTGAACTTGTTCATTAAAATGTGCTGCAGTTGTATCTAATGAAGATTGAGTAGATACTGCTAAATGAGGTTTATATTGTAAATTATTAATTTCACTCCAATAAACAGGCACAGATCCTCTAGTCTGTAAGAGTGAATAAATGTGCCCCTCATTACTAGTGAAGAATTGTTCAGTTTCATTGAAATTAGCAACATTACCTTCATCATCAATTCCTCTTCTAAAATACCTGGTACCGGCTCTTTTAGTGGCACGACGAGTTAATAAAGCGAAATCTAATGTTTGATTTAATCCCCCACCAAAAATAGCAGAATGAGATTTAAAATATCCATATATCAATGGAGTTATAAATGAATTCAATTCTCCATTTATCATGATTGATTCACATAAATATTTATTCCACCAAAATCTATCATCAATCTTTAAATCAGCCACTGTGAATTGACGTTGTAATGAATTGGTTAAATCATATTTATGATCAACTGAGAAATACAACGTTGCATTATTTAAATGTTGTTCTAATAATTTCAAATATGCCAATTCTTCAATATCATTAGTTGTTGAATGACTTCCCAATGGTAATATTTTATGAGATAATACTTGAGCAATTTCATGACCCATAATATCCCCAGTAATTTCATGTTTATCAGCTATAATGACATATGTATGGAATTTTAATTTAATTACTCCAATAAGACAAGATATAATTCTACCATAATCATTTATAACTGAATCATATGGGGAACCAATTGATTCTGATATTGTTAATGATCCATCTGATTGAATTAAGAGATATTGTCTTGTTAAGTCATTATAAAAGACATGACCACCTCTTTGAGTGGTTGCATGTTGTAATACCATCTTTTACAGTTTTATACCTTTACTTCTATTCAATGAGTAAACGAAGAAGATGTTGCTGATTAAAGTGCTGTTGTTAATTTATTTTTTTTATTTTGAATCTTGATTAAAAAATCAACAACAATTTCACACGCAGTTTAATAATTAATTAACGACGGAACAATACAAAACTGTCGCGACAATTTTTTTTACGTCAGATGGATTTATACTGCTGATATAACAAAGAACTAGAAGAAATATCAAAGAATAAGAGCTACATGTAACTCAACTCAAATTATCCACTCTAATTAGCTATGTAATATCTATATGCTTCTAGTGGAAAATCTTTTCTTGTAAATAATATAGCTCTACTACCATACTTCTCTTTCCGGAACAATCGAATGGCGACATCAAATGGACCCTCGAGTCATTGAATCTTTCTCGAGAAACTAAGTGCTGTGGGAGTCCGCATGTAAAGTAGTATAATTTCCAACCGTTGTGTAACAAATCTTTTTCAGTTATTATACTACAATGTAAACTTATGTGTATATATTCATAATATCAGTGGTGGTGGTGTGCATATAAAATCACTCCATGAAATGTTCCAACTGGGAGATTTTCTATTGTAGAAAATTAAAAAATCTTTTTACAACCAATTTGATCTTTCGATATCAACTCACTTAGACAAATACATTAGAAGTATATACACCTTATCCCATTCCAATAGATATCTACCACTTAGAACACCTTTAACATTAAATGATAATATATTTGTATTAGTTATCAATGTCTGCAAGTACTTATCAATATTTTCAAACATTAGGAATACCACCAACTTCATCATTAGATGAAGTTAAAAAAGCTTATAAGAAACTATCATTAAAATATCATCCTGATAAAACATCCAATAAAGAACATCATGAAATGTTCATTAAGATAAAAGAAGCATATGAAGCTCTCAAAGATAATCCATTCTACAACAACAACACTAGACTGAGACAACAACAACCAGAAGAATCAAGTTATATGTTTACATCTGGTGGACCTGGCCCTGGGAATGGATATAGAAGACCAGGCGGGTTTTCATATTATCAATATTATCAGAGACAGAATGATGAAGAAGCGGCAGCACAAGCTGAACGATTAAGACAGGAGATGTTTGAGAGGCTAAGAGCCGAAGAAGAATTACGTAAAAGAAAGGAAGCCGAAGAGCTACGCAAGAGAAAGGAAGCTGAACGATTAAGAAAAGAGATGCAAGAGAGAATGAAGGCCGCAGAAGAACTACGGAAACAGGAAGCCGAACGATTAAGAAAGGAGATGTCTGAAAGAACAAGAGTTGAAGAAGAACTACGGAAAAAGGAACAAGCAAGACGAGTACAAGAAAAAACAAAGGCTGCACTTGATGAATTACTTAGACATCAAGAGAAACTTGCTGAAATGGAACAGAAACGAAAAGAGCACTTACAAGAAGAGCATGAATATTTTCAAGCGAAATCCCAAGCTAGGAGAGGGGTTGAGAAGGAAGAAGAAGTTAGAAATAGACAATATAATAATGAAGATATGGCCGATCGACAATATCGTGAAACTAAAGAACGTAATGCTAGGGAAAGAGAGAATGCTAGACAAAGTTTTTTCAGTTATACTGATTATTATGATTCGTCAAGTCATCATGGAGGAAGTTCAAATGATCCAATTGTGGTTGAAGATGATGATAGTTCAGTAGTTGTTGAATCCGATGAACTGGAAGAGGAAGAAGAAGAAGACGACGAGGAAGAAGACGATGAACAAGATGAGTTTACTTTTAATAGTGAAGCACATTCAGCACCTGTTGATACTTCTCAATTCGATGCTTCATTTGAGGCAGGTCAAGAAGAAGATAAGTATAAAGACAGAAGTAGTCCATTAGCTAGTAGTACCACCGAATACTACCAGGATCCCGATCTAATGTCGAAACTTAATGAAATCCTAGAATCAGAATTAAATGCTCCTCCAAAACCAAAAGCTAAATCTAAATCAACAGCGTCGTATACGGGATGGAGAAAGAATGGATCGTCTTCTCCGAAAAGGCAACAACCTGCAGCGACAGCAGCACCAGAATCCACGCCTGCATCTAACATACCTGGACAGGCAAGAACAAGCTATGTTAGAAGTCACCTAGGAACACCAAATAAGCGATATAAACCTTCCAACATCTTCAAAATGGATGATTTGGGTAAAAATCTAAACCCTGATCTCGAAAATGTGGATTTTTCAGACATGTATGAAAGTCTCCCCCATTCTCAAAAACGTCCACAACAAAAAGAAAACACCACTCCTCCTAATTCCCCCATGAAAAGTTCCAAAAGGCGAATATTCGAATATACCAATGGCAAATCAAAAGCTGAAACATTATCCACACCCACCAATAAAAACCCCATCCGTGGCCACCCGGTCAAGAATGAACCCAAATCAAGAATCCCCCGTCTATCAATGTCAGACCTTCATGCATCCCCAAGTATACAATTCTCCCCACCAACGCCACCAAATCCGAACCTAAACCCCTCCATAACCCGCGCAGGGTGGAAATCATACACAGACCTCATCCAATCCTACCAAAAGCAATTCTTGGAATATAAACAACTCATTATCGAATATCAACAAGAAAGAACATTGAAGGATTTACATTATTTCGAGGTTATAAATGGTCTGTCGGAGAATATGAATGTTTATTTATGTTGTTTGGCGAGGGATGAGGAGGTGAATAATCAATATATGACGACATTGAGGGAGTTTGTCGGGACGATGGGGGTATATAATCAGAATTGTGATTGGATTAGGATTGTGAAACAGGATGATGAATCTTGGGTGTAGATATTGGAATTTATGTTTATATTATTTATATAGGATTAGATAGAAACGAATTTAATGGATATATGGCTATTTATTATGGTTTGGGATTAGAGAGGAACGAATTTAATGGATATGGCTATTTATTGTTGTTTGGGAGCAGGATGGTTGTTTATAATTGTGAAACGAGATGATTTATATGGAAGTTTATTAGGTTTCGAAAACTAATCCAACCTGGTTTGGGTTGTTTCCACATTCTAACTTTGATTGATTCTTCAAGAATTATATTTCAAGGCAACGGGGAGATTGCTGTGTTTCTGCCATTAGTCTTTCCTCTTTGATTGAACTCTCGAACTTGAAATTCTCCACAAATGATCTATCACCATCAATGGTTATCAAAAATATTTATCACACTAATTGAAAATTTAAGCTCTTCCCAAAATGACTTCTCAAATCCCCAAATGATATACCTGCACATTCAAACCCACGATAAATACTTCCCACATCGAAACGAACATCAGATTCTGAATCCAAAATCTTCATTCTAAAGCAAGTGAATTCCTTCTTTCCTTATTGAAATCCTATCCAATTCATCTCTCAAAACCTTTCCAAAACGATCTACCACTATCATTGAAATCCCAATCAATTCCTCCCAAATAACAATCTCAAATCCCATTAAATTCCTCCCAAATAACACCCCAAATCCCATTAGTCTTTTTCAAAATGATTCACCACTTGTAATGAAATTATTCCCAAATGACTCACCACCATAATTGAAATCCCATGAAATTCCTTCCGATTCAATACTACTATTTTAATGAACATCAAATTCTCAATCTCACTAATTCCAAGCTTAGATCAAGTAGGGCCTTCTTCCGTAAATCAGATTAAAATATCCACAAAGAAAGTAACCATTGGTCAGGTGGCTAAATTTCAGCATGAACAATTTGCACTAATCCTTGAAATCCAGTCAAAACCATCTCCAAATTGTATCAACATGAATTTCTTATCTTTTTATTGGACCCCTCATTAAATTTTATTGATTTATCTCAACATACTTGAATTTCCATTATATTCTTCTCAAATGATTCATCATCAACATTGAAAACCAACTAAATAATTCTTAACAAATTCTATCACTACCTTGAAATGAACATCAAATTCTGAATTCCAGTCTTCATCCTAATTCCCAACTTAGATCAAGTAAGACCTTCATTCTTAGATCAGATATTAAAAAAATACACACCAAGAAATAACCATTGGTCAGGTGGCTATATCCAGTATGAACTATTATAACACCAATCCTTGAAATCCAGTCAATACCTTCTCCAAATTATCTGATATCGCCATGCTATTTTTGATTCTGTTGAAGGTTGGTTTTCATTTTTGTGGTTTTTGTTATATTAATTAATAACGATTTAAAATATGACAAGTAATTAATGAGATATGCTGGAGGTTTTTGCATGATGAGGAAAGCACGAAGAATATCTTGAATGAGATAATAATAATAGTATGTTTGGTTGATAAAGAAGTTATGTTGGAAGAATGCTTGTTTTGTTTCTGTGATCTTCATTTCTGTGGATTAATCGCCATAAATAATTCCGGATTTCCCAAGTAACAACTTCACGGCAAGTGTATTCCTTTAAAGCATTTTCAAAACATATGATAGATATTGATTTGGATTAATGAGATGATTTTAATCAACTGATGATAATGAATATATTATTATTTCCTTGGTGGTGGATTTCTTTGTGGTTAATTAGTAGAGAGGAAAAGAATGAAGTTATTTTTTTTTTTGCAATCTCTCTTAATGAATATGTTGCAAATTTTGTATTGATCTGGAGAACACAAACAAAATAATAAGTTCTAGAACTACAAAATAGACCAAAAACTCGTACTATCAATTCGTCTAATCAATATATGATAATAATTAAAAGCATGGAATAGTTAAATGTAAATAAAAGAAATTCAGGAAGTACACAGAAGAAAATGAAATGAAAGGGCTTACAGGTAGAAGAGAGTAGGATACATGTAGTTTCAAATACTTTCTGTTATAACAAACATGATTTAATTTAGGATATTAGGGATAAGCTTTTTAATCAATCAAATCAAATCAAACAAGAAGAAGATTTGTTGTGTAAATATATTACTTTGTTTGACTATTAACTTCTAACTAACTATTGTTAAATAGATTGGTTAACCCATATTTACTATACTACCTTGGTGGATATACAATATTAATTTTTTCTTGTTTTCATAAATTTCAAACTCTCGTGTCTAGAAATTATTTTTTCAATTCAATATTTTATTCAACGTGTTTTCTTTCTTTACTCAATAAATATAATTACCAACTATCCAACTCATTCCTTTTATACAATCCATATTTAGAGACACATTAACAGAAAGGAATAACCAACAATGAACAAGAATCGTCAACTCCTTTTATTCATAGGAGTCTTATTCCATTTTTATTATTTATGGTCAATCTTTGATATTTATTTTGTCCTGCCTTTAGTTCATGGTATGGACCATCATATATCCACCACAACACCACCAGCAAAAAGATTATTCCTTATAGTAGGAGATGGTCTTCGAGCCGATAAGACTTTTGCTAAATTAACTCATCCAACCAATGGAGAATCCAAATATTTAGCCCCTTATTTACGTTCCCTTGTTGAAAATAATGCAACTTGGGGTATTTCCAACACCAGAATGCCTACAGAATCAAGACCAGGTCATGTGGCTATGATAGCTGGGTTTTATGAGGATGTTTCTGCTGTGACCAAGGGGTGGAAAGAGAATCCCGTTGATTTTGATTCATTCTTCAATCAATCTAAACATACTTATTCATTTGGATCTCCTGATATTTTACCCATGTTTGCCTATGGTGATGGGGTTGTACCTGGTAGGATTGATGTATGTATGTATGGACATGAATTTGAGGATTATACTCAAAGTTCAATCGAATTAGATCTGTTTGTGTTTAAACATTTTGATGAATTGTTAGCTAATCTGACTTGGAATAATACTTTACATCAAGAATTAACTCAAGAAGGTAATGTATTTTTCTTACATTTATTAGGACCAGATACTGCTGGTCATGCATATCGTCCTTACTCGGCGGAATATTATGATAATATAGAATATATTGATCAAAAATTACAAGAATTAATCCCAAGAATAAATGAATTCTTTGGTGATGATAAAACCGCATTCGTATTCACCGCCGATCATGGTATGTCCGATTTTGGATCTCATGGAGATGGACACCCAGATAATACCAGAACTCCATTAATTGCCTGGGGTGCTGGAATCAATAAACCAAAACCTTTAGCCGAATTACCGACTGCACAAAGACAAGAACAAATCACAAAACAAACCCCTGCCAATTCCGGCTTTGAAGATGATTATTTCAATACTTGGGATCTCGATCATTTATCTCGTCAAGATGTAAATCAAGCAGATATAGCTTCCCTAATGGCATATCTCATCGGAGCAAACTACCCAGCAAACTCAGTCGGTGAATTGCCTTTAAGTTATCTCGATGCTGACCAATCGACAAAACTCGCAGCATTATATGCTAATGCATTGGCAATTGTCGAACAATATCATGTTAAGGAACAAGAAGTTTATGAATCACAATTTAAATTCAAACCATATGAACCATTTGAACATAAAGCCATAAAACAATATCGTGAAGAAATAGAATCGTTGATAAATGATTTACGCACGATTCTGGATTTGGATGAACAAGTGAAGGCACATATTGAACATAAGGCAATTTCATTGACGGAGGAATTGATGAAACGGGCTTTGGATGGTTTGAATTATTTACAGACTTATAATTGGTNACGCACGATTCTGGATTTAGATGAACAAGTGAAGGCAGATATTGAACATAAGGCAATTGCATTGACTGAAGAATTGATGAAACGGGCTTTGGATGGTTTGAATTATTTACAGACTTATAATTGGTTATTACTTCGTTCGATTGTTACATTGGGATTCTTTGGTTGGATTGTTTATTCATTTATTATTTTTTTGAAATTGTTTATATTGACCCCGGGGGATTTAGAGAAATATAAACCAAAAACGATTTCTATCCCCTTGGTGGGGGGTTTCGGTGGGGTGGGGTTGGTGATTAATTATATTTTATTTTATCAACGGTCTCCATTTAATTATTATATGTATGCTATTTTCCCGTTGTTTTTTTGGTATAATATCTTTAATGAAACTGAATATTTACTGAATGGAATTGATCATTTCTTACATGGGGTCTCGGGGATGACGAAATTTTTGATTGTGATTTCATTTGTGGGGATGTATGAAGGTATAGCATATGGATTCTTTGAACGATTTGTGTTTTCAATTATATTATTCTTGGTCGGATTATATCCTTTATTAGTTTCCAAAACCGCCCAAATCCCCACCGGGATAAAAATCACCTGGATAATAAGTTGTCTTCTCATGTGTATTTTCACCAACCTGGATCCCGTCAAAACCGAATCCTTATCCCAAATCAACATCGGCACCACTCTCGCATTCATCATCAGTATAATATCCGCCCACCATATCTTCACCCGTCGCCATAACATCACCCCAAAACAAAAGCAACTCATCATTTATCAAATCTCAACGATCCCAATCATCCTGTATGCCACCAACACCTCCATCATCTCCCTCCAAGCCCGGACCGGACTCCCCCTCCATTCCCAACTCCTAGGATGGACAACCTTCATCATCTCCCTAGTCGTCCTCCCAACCCTCCATGCCATGAATCCATCCAAAGATTATCAACTCCGACTCCTAATTATATTCCTCGCATTCATACCCACATTCATCATCCTCACCATCTCGTTCGAATTGTTGTTTTATGTCGGGTTTTCATTAGTGTTATTACAATGGCTTGTGATTGAAACATCACTCAAGGTATCACATTTGGATATCATCACGTCACGGAAATTAACCGGAACATTACCCCCCGGGTATTGGTTACAAGTGATTAGAATTACTATTATTGGGTTTTTCTTCCTCCAGTTGGCATTCTTCGGCACCGGGAATATTGCTAGTATTTCCTCATTCTCGTTGGATTCGGTATATAGACTCATACCCATCTTTGACCCGTTCTCGATGGGGGCATTATTGATGATAAAATTGATTATACCCTATGTGTTGTTGAGTACTTGTTTGGGAATCATGAATCATCAATTGGAAATTAGGAAGTTTACTATAAGTACGTTGATTATATCCACTAGTGATTTTCTTAGTTTGAATTTCTTCTTTTTGGTCAAGACGGAAGGAAGTTGGTTGGATATTGGCGTAAGTATTTCGAATTATTGTTTGGCGATTTTGAGTTCGTTGTTTATGTTGATTTTGGAATTGGTTAGTTCGGTGATTTTGAAAGGGGTGGAGTATTCGGATGAGGAGCAGGTGGAGAAGGAGGATGGTGATGGGGATAGAGTTAAAGTAGAATAGACTCATACGTATTTGTTTAGTGTTTAGTTTTGTTTTATGTATAATAGATTTGTATTGCTGTGATGTTCTTCTTCATACAAGATCACCTCTATATTCAACGGTTTATATCTGCATTTGGTAGCCCTACATTTCTTGACCAAAACGCAACCACAAAAAAATTCCTGAGATTTCAATATTCAATTGATCCCTACAACACTCCCAACCAAACCAACACCAAAATAGATATAGTAAGGTTCCAGAAATGTTAGTCCCTCCAGATAGCTTCGGTTTAGTGGAACCAGGAATCTATCGATGTTCCAAACTAGAAACTGACAATTTCCCCTTTTTACAAACCCTAAAATTAAAATCCATAATTATATTAGATGCTGAAAAACCTCCTCGTAGTTTACAGACTTTTTTAGATGATAATAATAATAAAATTGAGTTATTCAATCTTGGTCTGATGAATATTTCCAATCATCATCGACATGCATCGACTAGTGGCTCGACACCAACCACACATAGGAATAAGACGGATGGAGAAGAGTTGGGGGAAGGGGGAGAGATGGAGGTGGGGGATGTTATGTTGGTTGAACAAGGGATGACTGGTTCTCCGGTCTTGAAAGCGAAGACTTCTGGGAAGATGTTGGATGTTATAAGTTTGAATAAACGAGATAAGGCTGATCAATGGATGGTGATTGAGAAGAATATAATTGCAAAAGCGATTGAATTGATATTGAATAAGAATAAACATCCAGCATTAGTGGTTGATTCTACTTCTACATTAGTAGGGATATTGAGAAAGATTCAAAAATGGAATTTTAATTCTATATTGAATGAATATAGGATTTATTCCGGGATAAGTTCTGGATCTAATAAATCAAATAATTATAATGCTGAAACTTTTTTAGAATTGATACAAATTGAATTAATCCCTTATGAAATTGACCAACTCAATAATATGAAACAGAAACATCAAGAATCAATCGACCCCCATCATCTTCTCCAGCCCTCAAACACCCGACGCGATTCCAATCACAACCATAACCATCATCATCATCATCACCATCAACATCGCTCCTCCCCTTTCTTGAAATCCCCACCTGATCAGAGTAATAACGACGACGAATTTCTCGACCATCAAAGCAATATCAGCGACATGGACGACCTCGATGACGACCTCCTATCCGCCTCCCCCCAAATCCCCGCCAATCTCCTCAAATTGGTCGAACAGCGAAGTAGCAGAGATAAATCAGGCACCCTGCTTGATCTGGATAATGAAATGATGATGTCGATAACTCCAGGAACGTCGCCGCAGTTGAATCGATCGAGTAGAAATAATAGTTTTAGTAATAATTATAATGAACAATATTTGCGGGGGCTGGTTGATAGTAGGAGGAGGTCATATGATTGGAAAGCCAGTGGAGGGGGGAGTGGAGGGGGGAAGAGTAATAAGTTCAGACCGGTGCTGGGGTTTTCTCCAATGCAACAACCCGGAAGATCATCATATGAAGGTAGTAGTGGATCATTCGGGGGACCAATTATGAGAAGAAGGGATAGTAAAGATAGATTAGAATTTGGTGTAGGTGGAGGGGGAGGGGATGAAATTAGAAAACAATTTGATTATAAATATTATAAAAACCTAAATAAGAATCCAATTATGTTTGAGAATGTAAGTGTTATGAAATTAAGAATTCCTATAGAAGGGAAATTACCTGATTGGTTTATTAAAGGAAGAAATTATTGGGAAAAGAATTATAGGTTATTAAATCAATAGAGAATGTATGTATATGTTTATATATTTATCTTGTCTTATCGCCTACCCCAGGAAGGTTGATTTGTAGATTGGTTTGAATTATTTGATGGAGGAGGATTTGGTTGAACTGGTGGCAGTTGAGAAGGTGAATTTCTCAACATTCTTTCTCGTAATCTATTTCCAGTCACGGAATAACTATTAGTTCTAATTGGTTGTGGATGGGCAGTGTCACTTTTGGGAGCATAAGTAGCGGATGCTGCTGGAGTAGGTTGTTGTCTTGATTTATTGTACATATCTTGTAATTTACTTTGCGATCGATAACCGGGTGTGTTAGTCGTTGTAGTATTAGAAGCTGGACGTTCTTGTTGGTGATGTTGCTGTTGTTGCTGCTGTTGTTGTTGCTGTCTGGAGGAATAACTATTATTGAAAGTATTACTATGACGTACCGGTTGAAATTGATCTGATGAATATCCATTGGCCTGATGTTGTTGTTGATATTGATTCAGTTGTTGTTGTATTTTATGAGTAGGGATGTTCTTAACCCCCAACCAATCAGGATAAGGTAACCCTTTTGAATCATAGTATTTAACAAATGCATTATGAATTAATGTTGAATCTTCAGTATTACCATCTTTATCAACATATGAATTACTAGTTAATGATAGATTAGATAATTTACTACTATAATTCTCTTTAATCTTGGAGAAGAATCCAGTTGAATTGTTACCACCGTTGTGATGCTGCATTGTCGTTATTCTAGTTCTCTTTTAGTATTGTATAAGGAATTAATAGTTATATTTATAGATAAGTGGTTAGTTGGTTGGTTATCGATGGATAGTGGAGAGAATATTGGAAAGTGGGAAATCAAACAGGAAAAAATAAACTACAACTACTGATTACGTAATAATAATACTGTTGATTATATAATCATTGATTACATAATCTAATAGTACATGATTACATAATCATTGTCCCATCTCAATTTTCTTTTTTTTGTTAAGAAAAAATCTTCGCTCTCTTTGTCTTTGTTTATTAGTCTTCTCTTCCTTATATTGTTTAGTTAGTATGGCAAAAAAAAAATAATTAAAATTAAAATAAAATAATAAAAACTGAAAATTTGATCTTCTTCTTATTTTACTTCTTTATCTTTCCACTAATAGACATACATAATAACGATGATTGCTCTTAGAAAGATAGTACTTAAAGCATCTACCAGATATAGTATCACTACTGCTACTACTGCCAGTGCTTCTATTACCCCAGCTATTATGAGAAATAGTGGTATGATGATGACGCCCACTCGTGGTTTCCAATCTACTTTCTCAAATAAGAACAAGAGTTTCGAGGATATTATGTCACATATGAAACAAGCTCATGAGAATACTATTGCCAAGGCTGCCGAAAATGCCAAATTTGTCCAACAAGCTGCTCACGAAGCTTCAGCCGAAGATTCTAGTCCCCGTTTCGAAAGACACTCTAAGAATAGATTTGCTGATAGGTATGATAGAAGAGACCGCGATAATGATTATGGATCTGACAGACGTGGTGGATATGGTGGCCGTGGTGGATATGGCAGCCGTGGTGGTCGTGGTGGATATGGTGGTCGTGAGCGTGGTGATAGAGTTGGTAATTATGTCAGAGAACAATTACCTGAAGCACCAGAACCAACCAAAATCATCGATGAATCATTTGTTCCAATTAGTCCAGGTGATTTCAAGGGAACTGGTTTAATCAGACATGAACTTCTTGAAGCTTTAGAAGTCAATGAATATAAAGAATTCACCCCAATTCAAAAAGAAGCTATTATTCCAGCTTTAAAAACTGAAAAGGGTTTAGTATGTCGTGCTAAAACTGGTACTGGTAAAACTTTAACTTTTATTATCCCAACCGTTGAATATGTCTTGAATAATCATAAACCTGGTATTAAAGCTTTAATTGTGGCTCCAACTCGTGATTTAGCTGATCAAATCGTGGCTGAATATAATAAAGTCATTAATGGATTAGATAGAAAAGTCAGACCAAAAACATTATTAATCTGTGGTGGTAAACCTAATAGAATCGATCCACGTTCCCCTCCTGATATCGTGGTTGCTACTCCTGGTAGATTAGAAGCTGATTTAAAAAACCCGGAAATAAGTTCATTATTTGATCAATTAGCTTATCGTGTTTATGATGAAGCTGATAGATTATTAGATATCGGGTTTGAACCTTCCTTGGATGCTATTGATCGTCAAATCCACCGAGTTCGTGATCAAACTGTTGCACCATTAAAATCACTTTTATTCAGTGCTACTATTGATGAAACTATTGCCAAATTTGCTAGAAAACATATTCATCCAAATTATGATTATATTAATACTGTTTCAGAAAATGATGCTGATGTTCATGAAAATATTCATCAAGTTTTAGTTAAATGTAATGATCAAGTTGATAAATTCCAAACTGTATTTTCATATATTGTCGAAGAATTAAAAGTTGAAGGGTTCAAAGGTATGCTCTTCTTACCTACAAAAACCGCCGTTGATTGGTTCCATAAATCCCTTCTCGAAGTTTTACATTCCGATGTTACCAAAGTCCATGGTGAAGAAAGAAGTCGTTATAATGTCTACACCATCCATGGTGGTAAATCTGTAGGACAACGTAATCACGCCTTAGCTTCCTTCAAAACCCACAAACAATCATTATTAATCACCACCGATGTTGCTGCCAGAGGTATTGATGTCAAGAATGTCAGTCATGTTATTCAAATGTCCCCATCTAGTGAAACCGCCGATTATGTTCATAAAGTAGGTAGAACCGGACGTGCTGGTGCCAAAGGTACCGCAATCACTTTTATCTGTGCTCAAGAAGTCGGATATATCAAAAGATTACAACAAGATTTCCAAATTGATTTCCATGAAGTTACCAAGTCAGAAGATATGCCCCAATTCCAATGTTTGGAAAATTTAGTACCCGATGAATTCGGATTAAATGATTTTATGGGCTCTTATATGGGTTATGCAGCATCTTTGATTCGTACTTATCGTATGGATCCTACTGATGTTGTACGTGAAATTGGTGATTTCCAAAGATTTGTTCTTCAAGATCCTTCAGCTAAATTACGTCTTCCAAGACAAGTTGAAGGTCAATTTGCGAAAATATCCCCTGATGTTCGTCAAGAATATGTGAGTGGTGGAAGTAAAGGGTTTGGATTCAGAACTGGTGGTCATAGAGGTGAAAAGAGAGGTGGATTTGATCGTGGTTCTTCTTATGATGATGGATTCCGTGCTAAGAGATATAATAATTATGAAAGAGGATATTCCCAAAGAGATTCATACCAAAGTAGAGGTGGTAGGGATGGTTACCGTTCATATGGTGGTTCAAACCGTGATAGATATGGTGGTGGAAACCGTAATAATGAAGATTTTTAAGAAACGATGTTTATCCTGTGTGTTGTATAGTTCTAAGACTTTAGGATGATTTGTAAGTTTTTTGATTTTTCATCTTTGTTGGATGGATTTCAAAATTATATAGACTTGTATATATTGAAGCAAATTTTAGAAAAACGAAAAGTATACTCTATAAAATGTAGTTGGTCATTATACAAGCTTATGTTTAATATGCTTATATGTGAATGGTCTAAATGGCGATGATCCAGTTGTTGTTGCAGTTGTTGTAGATTTCGAAGCTGGGTGCAGTTTCACCAACACCTCACCGTCAACCATCACCAGCTGCGAAGCCGGCTCTCCTCGTCCAGAGTCGTCTATATTTTCTGGCTGTTGAATAATTTCAACATCTCTCGTAAGAACCACATATACCAACAAACACATAATTATAATACTATTAAACATAACCACTCGTTTCTGAAATACCAATTCCCCTGTCAAAACACCCAATTTCTTATTTGTTTCCAATAACAACTCCCGATGATTTGATTCTTGAACATGATATAATTTCCGATATTGTTCATGAAGAGTATTATAAGAATCACGAAATGAAAGTAATTGATTAATTAGCGTGATATTGACTGAATTGATCAAGGTATTAAAATTTGATTTTTGTTTCTTTTCTAGATTTGAAAATGCCAACGAAAGTAATTTCAGTTGTTCTTCAATATATAATAATGATAATGTTGCATTTGATTCTAATAATGATAATCGTTTCATTATATTTTTATAGATTGATTCTTGGGTGGTTGAGGATGCAGTTGTAGTGATTGGTTCATTGGTGGTATTCGGAGTACATATTTGTTTGGTGATATTTGTACCATTAATATCTTTTAAGAACGCGTTTAGGTCCAAATGAGGCATGAATACCTTGAAATCATTGGCTAATGAACTATTTATATATAAGAAATCAAGCTCATTATTAGTTTCTGGTTGCACTTCTTGTTCTATAACCTTTTCTTCGTTTTTTTCCATGTGTCTCTTTTCTTCATCTTCCTTAAACTCATCCATCATAGTCTTTCCATGTACTCTAACCACCGAAATTGGACAATAGAATTCCAGTCCATAATGACTCAATATCTCAATCTTCAAATATCTTGCCCAAATCAATGGATTCTCAATCCTAAAAGTCTGAATATCTCGTTTATTCTCCGCCACAAACTCCCCCAATAATTTCCAATTCAGAGTTGGAAATCGATCACTTACACTTATCTTAACATCCTTAAACATAGATGAAAAAAATTCAAAATTCCCAATTACAACTTGTTGAACCAAGATGTCTTGACATAATTCTATAATTACGAATTTATCAGGGATGGAACATTGGTTTAGGAGATAGGAATCTTTGTTTTCTTTAAGGATTGCCAGGGCACCTTTGGCGTTCTTATTGGTTTTTACAACTGTGGCTGCACAATCGGCTGAAGCGTAGTTGAATTTATCCTTATATAATTTCCCTTCTGTTTCTATTATGGTTTGATTTTGCCCAGACGACGCGACTTCTTCTTTAGATGTTGATATGCCTTTTGGGGTGGAGGTCTTGTTGGAAGTGTTGTTTTTCAATCTGGTGCTGTTTTGATTTTTGACAAGCTGAGGACTTGTTGAGGAGGATATGGATGGGGCCAATTGTGAAGCAGCCGGTGAGTCTGTATTATTACTGACAGCTTCAATTTTATGTTTCTTCCATTCTTCAAACGACATGAAATGGCATTCATCTATAATATTGCTGATATTGTTGTTGGTGTTGTGAGTATTGTTGGTATCTTGTTGAGTATGTAGTTGTTGCAAAAGCTGCGTTTGGGACAGCACGCTGGATGTAGATATGATTGGTACGGCACTGTTGCTGCTTCTCATGTCATTCAAGACTAATGATAAGGGCGAGGATGATGATGAAATATTATGCGCTTGAAATATATTAGGTACAGTCGTGTTCAATGGAGACATGCGTTGTGATGTTGTTGTTGTTTTTGACAATGTTGTTGATACTTTCTTTTGCCAATTCCAGATTTTACCTGATTTGGATGCTTTGGATATTATTGAAGAAGTTGATGTATCACTTTCGACTATTAGTGTTTTTACTACTGTTGTAGTTATTGTGGTTACAGAATTGGATGGAATTGATGTGAATGGAGGAGATTCAACGACGTCAAATGTTGTTGTTGTTGAATTTGATTGACAATCAACTGAAGATAATAACCATAATAATCCAACTAGAATTAATAATCCAGTTGGGCATCGTAGTAGCAGTAGCATCCTTCTTCTGCTGTGTAACATACTTATTCTTATGGTATTCAATGGATGTTGTGGAAGTTTCTTTGGTGAATTGAATTTGGTCGTAAAAGAAACTAAAATAAGAAATTTCATAGATATACAGATCACGTGATATCTGTCAATCTTACATTCTTGCCCAGATAAGAACACAGGAACACGACGATGAATTATTCTCCCTTGATAAAGATGATTGGATGTTTGAGAGATCTGACTAGCTGTCGTCTATGAATCGCTATACCTTTCCAAAATTAGTTGGCTTGAACAGAAATTTTCATAAACCTTGGTTTATGGTATGCTGCCAAGTTACAAGAGATGAGTTAATGTACATCAACTTAAATTGGTCAAACTTTAATTTAAACAATGAAGTATAAATTTATATATAATGCTAATACTAAATGTAATAAACTAACCGATTATTAGATGAATTGGTATACAGAAAAAGGCAACGAATAAGAATTAAAAAACAACAAAACTATTGATGACATCAATATTATGACAATAAAAGCAAACTAAATTTGATATATTAATCTATCAAGTAATGTCCTCTTGGAATCTCGAAATGGAATTATTATTAGACCCATATTCTTGATCAGCAAACACGTTATGTCGAGGATATGGAGCTTGTTCTCCCGGCAATACCAAATCATCATCACTATCATATTCCAATCCAGAATCACTTTCTTCAGGAGGACTATTGTACGTCGAACTAGATCTTGTTTCTTGTTGTGGTTGTAAATGAGGAGCATATAGGTTTCTATTCACCGGATGTTGACCACTACCACCGGTAGCCGCTAGACCAGGCAGGGCTTCATGGAAATCGAAATCATTGGCATTTGCTAATGGATGTCCATATGAATTCATCCTCGTATGTCCAGCGCTGCCACCAGCACTCCCACCCGCTGCAGCGCCTGCTCCCGCTAGTGATGACAATCCAGTTCCAAATGATGAAGATCTCGTACTCATATGTGCTGAATTTCTCGCCGCTGTAGTTCCACCACTGCTCCTAAACACCGAATCTAGATTATTAGCATTTGATACTCCCCTATATGTGAAATCTTCCCCAGAATCACTACCACCTTCGAATTGTCTTGGATGTCCACCGGTGCTTCCATACCCTTGACCTGCTTCCAAATCCTCATCGGTCGCAGTTGCTCTCCTAAACGATCCACTACCAGCTGCAGCAGCACCTCCTGCACCAGCAACTGCACCGGCACCAGCAAGCCCGGCAGATTGTAATAAATTAGAATCACTACCTTGATGACCTCCGAATAGGGACGTAAACCACCCAAATCGGGATTTGTTCTGTAATGAAGGACTATCATGGAATAATTGTTGGTTTTTATCGTCAAATGATAAATCAGCATCATCGTCCTCACCATTCCCATGACCACCAACAACCACACCATTGAAATCGGGGTTTTGGTTGGATAATTTATTCCGTCTCCTCTTTTTTAAGAAGAGGAATAATACCACTAGACCGGCAATAACGATAGTTCCTCCGATTGAACCTACGAGACCTCCGATTAATTTTGAGTTTCTTTCGGCCATGGATTCTCCATTGTTGTCGTTGACGGCATTAGCAGATGTGGGGACCGTTACCACTGTGGTGATGGTGGTGTCGGGTTGGGTGATTAAGGACGTGATTGATGTCCAGATAGTGGAGGATGTTGAGTCTGGTGGCTTGGTGGTTGAGTGTGACGTGGATGTGGTTGAGTGTGTCGTGGATGTGGTTTTGGTTGTGGAGCTTGATGAGGAAGTTTTTGTAGATGATGATGAGCTTGACGTCGTACTGGAGGATGATGAGGAAGAGGAGGTTTCTGAAGGTAATTCAGAACTTGAGGATGGAATAGATGAACTACTGGATGATTCAATTGACGATGATGATGAGGTTGTTTCGGTGGATGTTTCTGACAGGAATGATGAAAAAACTAAACTGGAAGAAGAAGGAACAGATGAGGATGAACTTGAACTTGGAATAGAACTTGAGGACGACGTAACTTGAGACAGACTAGAACTTGATGACGATGGGACCACTGATGAGGACGAAGTCTGTGAACTACTAGTAACTTCACTTGATGAACTAATGGAAGATGAACTCGTAGTTGAAGAACTTGTTATTTGACTTGAACTCGAAACCAGCAGGGAACTAGTTGTCAGAGACGATGAAGGTTCAGTACTACTACTACTTGGAACAGTTGAACTTGATGACTCAAAGCTAGTCTCGGATGCACTAACTAATGACGTTGATGACGACATTGTGCTTGATGAAGTAGCAGAACTCACTGTAAAACGAATGGCTGAGGAGGAGAGAGACGACGTTGTTGTCTCACTGCTACTACTACTTGTTGACGATGACGTTGAAGACAGGGTGCTTGAACTTGTTATTGTTGACGAGGAAGCACTCGATGATGTTGGCTCTGTAGAAGACAGTATGGTTGAAGATGAAAACGTTGCTAAAAGGGACGGTTCACTGGATGTACTGCTACTACTACTTGAACTACTAGGTATGGTTGATGTAGTAGAAGAGAGTGAAGTTATTGATGGTGAACTTAAACTTAAACTTGTAGTTGGCGAAGACACTATTAATGATGAAGATTGTTGGGTGACACTGTTACTTGAACTTGCAACACTTGAACTACTTTCTGATGATGTTAAACTTATACTACTCGGTACTAAGCTTGATGTGGAAGTAGATTGAATTGAACTATTCAAAGAATCAGTATCTCTTACTATTAGAACTTCTCTTCTCTGGAAATAGTAATATGGAGTTGGAGGAGAAGGTTGGCGTAGATTATTTATAAACTTATTAAATTTGGTTAACTCCTTCATAATTTTATTTTTTTTTTCTTCTTTCTGATTTTGGGGGTGTTTTATATTTTTTTTCCACAAATCTATTTTTGATGTCAAACAAAAAATATTTTTTATTTTTGTTTTTACAGTTTATGTGTGAAGGTTTCTTCTAAAAATATATTTTTCTTTGTTTTGTATGTGGCTGATGTAATATAAAATGGAACTCACCGAAAAAAATAATTCGAATGGTATTGTTTCTGTTTATAGATATGGAATTATGTCTCAGATGAGCTATGCTATGCAAAATGATACACTCAAAAAAAATTGGATAATATCTTAGATCAGACTGGTTTAATGTTTATTGAATATATTAATCAAAAACTCAAGGCTTGGAAATAAAAAACTGTTAATCCACTTAAAAATATGTATACGAAACCTGTATTTAAGTTTTTCGATGACTCCTTACGTGATGATGATGATTTAAATGATTATTTTTTCTGATGTAAGTAATTAAAAAAACCTAAAAAATATTGAATCTCACAGATTTTTTTTTTCTGTTGCGTAATTAATTTTAGATCTCACTGTTTTAACTAGCCCCCTAAATAATGATTAAGAATGAAATGCCTTGGTAGATGTAAACCCTGTCAACTGAACCAATAGTCTGGGTATTCAAAGGTGTACTACTAGATACAATACCTTGTCTGAAGATGGAAATCCAACCTTTAAGCTCTGATAATTAAAATGCCGTAAATTCGATTAAGTAGAAATCTAAGGCGAGACTTGGTCAGTCTTTTTAGATCTAGTACTGTAGTCTAGAATATTAATTGCAAAAAAATAATAATTTCTTTCAACTTTATTTGGAGTAACAGACGTTTGCTTGAATAACAGTTTGTTATATTTAATGGTGGTAGATACTTGTAGTGTTTGAAAAGAGTTTAACAACACCAAGTAAAACTTTACACCTGTATTCTAATTTCCAGGAAATCTTCAATGGATTTTATATTTCACAATTTGATGTAAAACATTTAGCCCATGCTTATAGTTAAAAATATTTAGTAATCTATATAGAAATAATGTGAATTAATGAATGTGAAAAAAAGCAAATCGGCAAATTGTAATACAGCAACTAGTAACTAATATTGGCAAAGTATAAAATATTACTACTAATGCTTCGGTATCATATTGATCCCGTGGCAGGTTATCTTTTCAGGTTTAGAAATCCTTGAAATATTTTTGATCCTTTGATATTCGATATTTAAACTGCAAATTCATATAATTAAATTATTAAACAAATCCCAATCCCAATCCCATCCCCCCTTTCATTGCTTGATTTTCTAATCTAAATCCCCCTAAAAGGACTAAACAGCCGCTATTACTGAATATTAATAATATTGAGAGCACAAAATATAAAAGAAATATCGTTGGAATATGGGTGTTACAAGTTGTAATAGTTTGCGTGACTGTGTGGTGTCATCTTTGATTGCAAATTCTTTAAGTGTACTCACATTTTCTATTAAGGTTTAAACAGTTCTTGTATGTATTACTCTTACAATACAGATGCCAACGTTTTCTATTGATCTACTCTCTTCTCTTCACATAACACAAAACTTCTCTTTCGGATTTCAATTGCAAATTCCCAAACAATAAAGCTTTTCAAGGGGTTACAGATGTTTTAACAATAACGCCATTGTTGAATTTTAAGAATTGCTACAGAAACAATCAGATGGAGATGCAACATCCCTAAGGGTGAATTGTTCGATGGTACAAACAAGGGGCTACTCAAAGAAGCCTATAGCACAAAGGAGGTTGCAGAATTCGAAGCTAAGTTGCAAATTTCAAATCATTGTTCGTACGAGAAAAAGCTGAAATTACAAATAAAGTCTTGGTACAATCCCATAATCTGATATCTCAGTATTCAAAACTACAAATATAAAGAGATTCGTTATTCTTCATTACTTGCAGATTCTCATATTCCAAGAAGACACCTTTTCTACTTAGTTCTGTTCGGACCCATTGTTTAGCCTTTTCGACCCCGATTTTTCTACTTGAAAAGACCCTTTCTGGATAATCAAGACAGCCGAAGGTTAATTTTTTAGACTAACTACTATATATTGATCTCCCTCGAAAAAGTCGTGACTCCCATCCCTCAGCTACTCCCCTTCGAACTCCTTCTATCTCCAATTCTTGCAATCCATCCCCTAAAACATTTCTTCAAGAAAAATAATTTACATTCTCCACACTTGAACTCTGTGTAGAAATAGAAAAATATTCATTTCCTAGAAAATTACAGATTCAATTAATTAATTAAACTTTTAAACTAAAAAAATAATTCATTCTTTACTAAAATGTTTTTCTTTTTTTTTTACTTATTCACAGCCACTTAATCTATTTTTATCGTAACTCTCTCCGTTCTGAGATGTAACTACGAGAAAATGTAATTATGGGCTCAGCTTTTATTGTGATGAAATCTATAGTTGAACGGTTGTATTCTTCCGGATGAAGTTTAACGTTGATCAATTGTTCCGGACCCGGTTGCAGTCTGTAAAGGTTTTCATTTGCTTCTAAAGATAGGTTTTCTATATTTAGAACTAAACTTAAATGGCTCAATTTTTTTGAGTGTTCGTGCATTAGCTTCAGTGCAGCCCTGCGGTAAATTGATGCCCAGGCTATTTTAGCTGCAAAAATTTCCTCCAAAATGAAATCATACAACATAATTGACAAACGGTCACGTAGTACGATAATAAACGATACATATAAAATTTCAAATATTATTAAACAACGTTGAACCTATAAACAAAACATATACACACATGAAAGAGAGAAGTAAATTAAGTAGTTAATTAGTTATATGTTCAACGACCAACCAAAAAACAACAGCGAATCTATAGAAAACTCTCAATATAATAACAAAAATAACACAACAAAACAAAATAAATAAAATTAAACAACAAACCCTTTATACCATTTCTTTTCTGGCATATTTATTCTTCAACCAATCCTTCAATGCAAACACACTCATAACCCAACTCATAAACAAAGTAACCATCCCCAACGATACATTCAAAGTAAACATTGCCGTCAATCCATAATATTCAAATGACAAAACCACCGGATCGGTACTTTCCATAAAGATAGCCCCACCACAAAGTAATCCAAATGCAACTATTAATTCCGTGATTGGTCTTGTAGGTTTGGTCAAATCTTGACAAGTGGTTGAAGAAAGCAACATCAATAAATAAGTCAAGAATCTGAATGCACATCCAAGTACAAACATCTGTCCCCATTGCTTGTGAATATCAGTCGATAACGGACTGGCTTGTTCATGGGCAGACATAAGAATACCGGTCCAGAAAATAGTAAGGATTGGGAATGGATTAGGACTGAATCCTGGACTGGCTTTAATGATCTTTGTATCATTAGTTATTGATTGGGTGTCTTGGTTAGATTTGGTGAGGTTTTGTTTTGCTTGTTCAAATCTCCAGTCATTTAATTTAATTTCACAAAGGACTCCACATAATCCACATCCAATGAAAATAAACGCAATTGAAGCATGTTGTAAATCCTTAGGAGACCATTCACCTCCTGGATTAGCAAGATGTTCTAAAAAGATATTAGTTGATCCATAGAATAAAATCAAGGATGATTCAAGCATTTCCATGGTGCATAATCCAGTACCTTGAATACTGAACCATTTATTGGTCTTGTCTGAACTTTTGATAAATTTATGATTCCATGCCCATCCTTTATTACTAAATCCTCCAGAATATCTTGCTAACGTTAAAATACCATATGCAAAAAAGACACCACCTTTAATAAAATGGGCTAATAAATTAAATACAGTCCCTCCTTTACCATAGACACAAAATGTAGCTACTCCAGTTGGAACTAAAATTAAGAAATAAAAGAAATGACCCCAATTCAATAAATTAAACCCAATTTTAGAAACTTTATGAAATCTGGTAGCGGCTACCCATTGTCTAAATTCGAATAATTTATTGGTGAATTTATTCCCTGTAGGCATTTGATGATATTGCTTTACTTCTTCTTGTTCTGTTGAAGTTAATGAATTTCTCAGTTCATCATCATCTGAAGAAGATCCCAAATTGAAATATTCATTAGTATTTGGATCAATTGATTTAATAAATGCAAATATTAATTGTAAAATTGTAGAAACAAATAAAATAACCAACATTTTACTATATGCATTCCCAGGATATAATTCAGGAATTGAATTAATAAAAATTGAATAATTAAATAATGAAAATATAATACAACAAGAATGAATTACCAAACTTAACATATATGATTTCCTCATATTCAAATTATTAAAAATTAATGTAATTGGATAAATAAATACAATTGAAAATAGTGCAAATATAATATGTAAATATAATGTGGAACGATAATTGGTAGGAACATTGAAATAAGTCGTGGTATTATAATTCTCCCAATATAATCGTTCTTCAGGTAATAAATGAGTTTCCAAAATGGGTTTACCATGTTCATGATGCATTACATGAGGAATCGGTGACATTGTTGCATTGGGTGTCTTGGTAGTGGTTGATACTTCAGTATGGTCATGTTCGTAGTGATCGTCGTTCTCGTCATCACTTTGATGTCCATCCATCTCCATCGCAAGCGAAAGGCTTGTTAATAATAGTATAACACAGGGAATGACTTTCATAGTGGCTCAATTGAATGACTTTAGTTTGATTTATAGATAAAGACAAAATCGGGTGGCAATATTGGGGAAAAAGGGATGAATTCTTGATTATTAATAAATGAAAGCAATTATTGAATGGTTATTGATTTGGCAGCAAAATTTCGTAGTCTTTGCAACTTGTAAAATAGTGACCTAATAATGATAATTGTGTCTGTCACTTTTTGGTTTAAAAAAAAAGGAGGTTAATTGAAAAAGAAGAATCGGACAGACAGACATTCAATTTTTACAATTTGAATGAGATTTCAATTGACTTATATAAGTGGGACCAAACAGACAAGAAATTTAGGTTTTTAAATTTAAGTAATTGTTAATAAAAAAAAAATGAATATTTTTTAACTTAGACAAAAAGTTTAATTTTTTTTAAGCGCAAAACTCTTTACGACATTTCTTTCCGAGAAATCCTAAATTTGTTTAATCTACATAATCTTTATTTATTTGTATAATTACATCTCCCAATTCTATAACGAAGCCAAATGTCCTGACATTGTCTGATTTTATTTCTTTCCAAAGGATCTTAAATATTCGCTTGTAAATCCTCGAAATAAACTTGAAATGAAGTAATTTTGGGGTTTTCGGTTTAAAATCCCCACGACATTTTTTGGTACTTTTTGGGAGATTATTCCGTACATTGTCAGTTTATTCCCGATGAGCCAATTTTTAAACAATTAGTAACAAATTTCTAAAATAATACGGAATTCTCGGATATCAGTTTTCAAATCAAAGGCCGATCTTATTAATGAATCAAATCAAATTCCTATTTATGAACTGGTTGCCATGTACATGCAAGGATCGAATTTGTTGGATCCATTGTACAGTATTACAATTGACAAATTGTTGCGTCAACCAATTAAATGTGACTAATAATTACAAATTCACTAATCACTCTCTTCCATATAAAATAAAATGCTTCCGGAACGGCTGGCATCAGTTTTTTTTTTGGTTGCTGTGATTTTCTATAAGCAGTTGCCATTGATATCTGAATGAGAAAGTTGACTGGGGAGGAAAGGCTTAGTACAGTTTATAATTTTCGTCGGATTTATTCTTCTGGTTTGTCTCTAACCATTTTATGTAAACAATTGATCTGTGTGGCAAAGGGAAGGAGTGGAGGCCGAGAGTGTATGAAATGGATAAGTTGCGAACCGGTTTTAAAACTTTAATCACGTCATAAAAATATTGCGCAGATATTAAAAAAATAAACAGTAAACGACATTTTTTTGACTTTCCTTGTTCTAAAAGGGTTTTGCTATTCGAAAAAAAATTGGTCAGCCGTTCTTCATGAGCTTCACGTCAAAATTATGACTAATTATATTTCCAAGCAATTTTTAATTGTTTATCTTGGAATTATAGGGTCCACTGTTACCCCCTATTTCGTTCATCATTCGTCTCTTTAGGCTGTTACAAATTATTTAAAAATGTAGGAAAATTGTCGATGATTGCTTTCATCTGTCATCGGCTTCGAGCGGAACGGAAACTTATTTTTTGTTTTTGTTTTTGCTTCGGTTGCCGAGGGCACTTATAACCGATAGCTTTTTTATCGTTTTAGATTTGCTAAAACTTGAAACAAATTTCCTCTTTTAGAGAGTTAATTACAGTTCCTACTATAGGCATGTTACTGGATAATCCGGGGTTGCATTCGTGCATTTGTATCTGACTAATTGGCTGTGTCTTCTTTTCGGCTAAAAATTCATCAAAAATTTACGTAAATCTTCACATTTTCTTGAAAATGCACTCAATGTATTATGTGTAAGCGACCGAACCGAGTCAGTTACAAAATATGAATAACCAGTTGAAAATTTTAGTTAGATTCAAACCCGAGCATCACAACTCTCAGGCTTTGAACAGCAATGCTGTATTCCAGTCCGCGATCAAATACATTACTTGACACATTCCAGATTTGGATGGAACCAAGTAAATTTACATATTTAATTATGAATCATCAGTAAGAAGGCGAAAAATAGCCTTTAGTCAAACCAAGAACAGACGAGAATAATTATGTGATATGACTACTCCAGAATCATAATTACTTTGCAATTAGAGAGGCATCATCAGGATTCCATCCGGAAAGCATCATAAAAAATTCTAATATGATTTCACGGTGGGGGGCGATAGAATAGTCTATCAGATATAAATTTGACTCTTTTAAGTGCTATTATCATAAGTTACCGAAAAATCCAGATTCAAATGAAAATTCCACCCAATCTACCGCTCTACTTCGTCGTATGCCCAGACACACAGAACAAGAATAAAAATGCTTTCTGTTATCTGAAAGTCCAATCCTGAACAGTTTTTTCCCCCCATATTTCATGTCCTTTTTCTCTTTTCTGTGCAAGAATGACATCGTCCGTCTTGGAGTATTTCTCGATCGTTCTATATACTTTTGGTTGGACTCTTTACAGTTCTCCGAATTTTAGGTAATTCAAAATTAGGGTTTTTGTCGTCCAAACAACGTTATGCATAAAAGCGTCAGAAATTAATCCAAATATAGATATATCCTTAACAAGATCTTACCCCCCTACAATATTTTTAGCAGCAAGGAACAATAAATTTCCGGAATCTAAAAATATATCTGGCCTTGGATATCTTGAACTAGCTCGTCTGACTTATTGTATTAAATTACTTGGCATCTTATAAAAAAAAATATTATTACCTACCAATAACGGTTCATCCGCTATTGGTTGGGCAACTCTTCAAAAGCAAACGGCGGCAAGGCTAGATTTCTTGTTCTACTGATAATGACTATTCTACTGATGATGACTATCACAACAAATCTCTCACTCTTATAGAACTACACTTTAAGTTATAGTTTACTGAACCCTTGAAAAAATTATTCAGCGTAAAATTTTAGCTTTCTGAATGAGAAATAAGGGGCTCATAAACAGACCAATTGTTGAAGGGAGACATCAGGATTACGAGAAGTATTAGAAGTATAAGGATTGTTGACTTATTAAAAACACAACAATTGACTAAATATTCATTAAAGACCTTAATTATTAACTCTATTTAAAACTCATTCTCATTTTCAGGAAATTCACACATATTTATAATTAGTTCTTTGTGGGGCAAATCCCAACTCCCTTTGAATTACACACACACACACAATTTAAACAATGAACACTTAGTATTTCATAACACATTTTCACACACATTTAGACAATAGTTATTGTTCAAACTTATTAACTGGACTTTATAATTAGTTTCACTAATAAATGAAACCTTGCATTACTTCATACTTCAACACCAATGACTTCCGGGAAGTTATAAAGGGGACGTATAAACCTCTAAAACATAATTCTCCTTGACTGGCATATATCTGTACTGAGGATACTGTTGGTCATTTCTTAAACCTTGGCAGGGGCAACTTGCGAGACTAATTGACTCCCCAGTGATAATGTAGAATCATTAGTCACTGGAAGCTTTAAATTATTTAATTTCTGCCAATAAATCAAAATGCCGCAAAAACAACGAAAATGCCGTTAGCAGAGCTGCGAGCCTTGTTGGGAATCTGTAATTGACTTTGCTTGTTAAAATGTGTAATAGTACAAGTTGAAAAGTGAAATTAGTTAATTAATGATTGTTCCTGTAATTATTTTTTAGTGGTTTGTTATGTAAGGTACAAATAATAATGGAAAATTAATTTTTTAGTGAGATATTTTATGTAAAAATAAATAATAATCGCGTCAAAAGGAGGAGCTTAGCCATTGCTTGGAATGCTGCATAGGAAATTTGATTCATACTCTCAAGGCTTAGACACTAGCTTTTCTGAATCCTGCTGAGACCCACCCAAGAGCAAACAAGAACAAGAAGCGAAACTTCCGTAAATGCACACTAAAAGATTGGATGTCATAAACTGTTCAGTGAATTGCCAAGAACTTAACAGCTATAAATAGGATGGAAAAAACAAGCTTTAGGGTTTCCATCAACGCCTGAAGAAGAAAAGTTAACAGAACAGATTCTGAAATATTGGAATAGGGTTAACAAGGCTGAGTTTATACACACAACCAGACAGTTATAGGAAATTAAAAACCGCATTGTTAGACACTAAGCCAAGTGAAAAGCCAATCATTTTTCTCTCGAAAATTCTTCTATATCTATATACCTTGGTGCCAACAACTCTAAGGTGGTTGTCGAATTGGGGTTTGGCTAGACTACTTTGTTTAAATCAATTTATACGTCGCTGTATAATGCTGCACACTAATAACACAAAAGATCGAAGTTGCATGCACCCTCTAAAGAAGGGGGCTTATTGATTTTAGAAAAATATTCAAGATTCAATTCACCAAACTAAACAACGGGAAGTGAAATTTGTTTACTTCTAAAATAATCCAAAAAAATAAATTATTATTTTGGCCGCAACATGCATGAAAAACAATCACTAATTTAAAGTTCTACTTCAATTGTTAGTACCTTACCCCTTAAGTAGCATTCGATCTTCTGTAAAAATTACATCTAAATCTCACGGTTTCTATTTCAATTTTAGTTGTTCCCAATGTTTATTATTCTTATTCTGATATAGTTTGAATCTACCAACAAGCAGAATGTCCAAATTTAAAGTAAAGTTTAAGATTAAGTTTCAGGTTCTAGTTCTAGTTGCAATTGTAACTTTTATCTGTATCGAAGAAGCTACATTCTCCTTAAATGGTTCCTATGATACCAGAATGGATGTGATGCGTCTGCGTGCCGACCATTTGACTCACACGGACAATGGCCAAGGAAATCAAGAATTTTGGCAATCCGTTTTCGATTTATATAATGAGAACAAGATCACTGAAGATGAACGGTCATGGATTCAATTGAAACCAGGAATGAGTCGAAATTTTGGAAAAAGCAGAAAATCTTTATTGAAAAGGTGTACAATCAAAGAAGAACATCTTAAGGCAATCCAAGAAAAGCATAGCAACATAGTGGAAAACCTTCCTAATGAACTTGCACCATCCACCTATAAGAAAGGTTCCAGGGGAATAGTAATAATTGGAGGAGGATTCTTTTCTTGGTTGTCAATGTTAACTATTGTCCAACTTCGAGAACTTGGTTCCGAATTGCCAATTGAACTTGTCCTCCCCAACCAATCGGACTATAATGAAAATCTTTGCGAAGTTGAACTTCCGAAATATAATGACAAATGTATGATTATTTCAGATGTACTAGGATTGAATGAAACTGCACTCAACCTTCAAAAATATCAATACAAAGGGATTGCACTCTTGGCCAATTCCTTCCAACATGTTTTCTTGTTAGATTCGGATAATTTCCCCGTAACAAATATTGACAAATATTTTGATTCACCAGTCTACAAAGACCATAATATGGTTTTGTGGCCAGATTATTGGAAACGCTCAATCTACCCATTGTATTACGATATAGCCAAAATCCCCGTTACCATTAATAAACAAACCAGGGTGGGTACGTTGCCACTTATAGATCCTATAGATCTCACACAACGAGAAGCAAGTGCAGCCACTTTCCATGATTTAGACGGAGCAATACCCGACTTTTCAACCGAATCAGGTCAGTTGTTAGTTAACAAGAGAACGCACGGCAAGATGTTGCTATTGGCATTATATTATAACATCTTGGGACCTGATGCGTACTATAAATTATTTAGTTTAGGGGCAAGAGGTGAAGGAGACAAAGATACGTTCCCAGCAGCCGCTCTTGCGACTTATTCTACGTTCTATCAGGTCAAGTCATACATTTCCCTGTTTAATCTAGAATTGGACAATGGTGAGATAAAAGGAACCGCCATGGGTCAACACGACCCACAATTGGATTATGAATTATATAACACAGAATATGAGAAGCTTCGAAACGATCCAGAGAATCAAGGAAAGAATTTGAAACAACAAACTGAGATTCTTTCAAATTTTTACAAGGAGCACTTTTTTAAAGTTGAGAAAGTGCCAATCTTTAGTGTCCATTGTCATATTTGGAAAATCGATCCTGCTGATTATTTGAATCGAAAAGAAATTTATGATAATGGATCAAATCGTCTTAAGAAGAGAATGTACAATAGCTTTAAGTATAAGAATGAAGATCAAGAAATAGATTTTGAATTGCAGCGGTGGAAAATTGCAAATAAGTTGGCATGCGAAGATAGAATACCTTTTACGAATTTCGAGAATACGGATATGGATCGCGTTTGTCAGTTTATGAAAAATACAATAGATTGGCTAAAAGGAAATTAAGTTAATTTAGCATTGCTATGGAAACTTGCTGTAAATGATTCAAATATCATTTAAGAAATATTTTTTACTAAATCCATTTTAGTTTTGTGGCGTTGAGATTTTCTAGATCCAAAAGCCTCGTGATTATAATATTTCTAATTAACTCACTCAGTAAGCTGACAATAAACGTCAATAAAATTAGTCTCTGCATCCGCGTGATTATGAATGAGATGCAGGTTTTGTAGCACTCATTTTATTTGTAACTTTCTGCAACAATTGCTTCCACGTTTTCGTTTTGAGTAACAAAGAAAACCAATAAGAAAATAAAACTCTTTACTAAATAACGATTAAAGTTCAAGTCGATGACAACGGTGTCAAAAAGACTAACTTCAAATACAGAATATACGTTTCTGTGTTATTATAAAGCCTACCACGACAGCACATCACTTCTTTCTGAATAGTTTCGGAATATTCACGGCTTTGTCAAATTCGATTGAAGCTCATAGTATACCTCCTTTGGCAGATCATTAGATCACTATTCATCTTAAGTCTAAAATATAAAAACATCGAAACAATTGATATACTGCTCCAAAACCAGTATTAATGTGACACCTCGTACCCATAATACCTAGGCAAAAAGGGTGCACTAACATCGAATTAAATATATCAATAAATGGCAAGTTGGATTGATTGACAGATGTAAAAGAAAGAATTTTTGTTTACAGGTTGGAATACCAACTTTGAGAGCTAAAGGTACATCCTGCTGTATTATTTGGGGCCCTTGGCTGGAGCTTGCATAAAACTATCTTTCTATGGTACCTAACTACTAATACATTTAAAATTCATGATCGTCTAGCGTTGATCTTTCACCGATTGGAAGGAAAAGTTTCTTCGATTGTGAATTTCAACATGTTTTCATCATAATGGGATATCTCCCAGATCAAATCAGTGCATTATATTTGTGTTTTAGAAGAGATTCCGATCAGTCTACTATGATGGCGAAGATTATACCTAAGAATCAGATTTTACTCATTATTTATCATTTACTTGAAATTCACAATTGAAGAAACTTTTCCGTCCAATCGGTGAAAGATCATAATTACCGTAAAGATGAGGTTTTGTTCTTATCAAAGGTATAACATTTGCTTTTATCAAGGTATAACATTTGGTCAACATTGATTAATTAACATATCATTTTTTTTCAGAAATCAATAACATACGAATGTTTGACGTGCCTTTCGCTTTAGCAATCAATTCACAATGCTGGTACTGAGGGGGAAATGTGAATATGAAAAGTGAAAATAAATGTCCAGTACCAGATTATAAATAGCTTGAACAATTTAGAAGAACTTCTCACAATAGCGGGCTGGAAGAATGTCGAATGAGCTTAGATATGTTTCAAGTCATATCTCATTGGCAGAATGAGTAGTGAACATGAAGTCGATTTTTCAAAATTAGATAATTTAAGCATTCTAGCAGACCCAAATTCTAACCTTGGTGGAATACATGGAAAAGAAAATCGATGCGATGTAACAAGCTATAGATCTTTAGTGGGTAATCTACTATTTGTTGCTAATACAGTAAGGCTTGACAAAGCATCTATCGTAGGGGTACTCAGCAGATATTTAACTAAGGCTAATTCAAGACACTGGGATGTAGCCGTCAAAGTTTTTTGAAGTATTTGAAAGGTGCTCTTGTGCTTGGTCCAGTTTATAGAAAGCAGGGGGAATCAGAGGTTTTTAGTGATGCTGATTGAGGAATTACTTTGAGAAGATAGAAAGTCTCCTACTGGTTATTTAATCAAGTTTACTGGTACACCAATTCGTTGAAATGGTAAGAAACAAACTAGTGTCGCTCAATCTACTACCCAAGCAGAATATATGTTTTTGGCTGAAACCACGAAAGCACTGTGGCCATTGCAATTATTCAATCAGTCTGATATTACAATTCCACTTACTATAACTATACATGAGGACAATAAATCAACTATCCAACTTGTTAATCATCCAACTCAATATCAGAGATCCAAACATATAGACATCAGAAATCCCTTCACTCGCGATCATGTAATGAAAACATAATCATGAAATATTGAGAGAAAGAAAGAAGGTTGGCCGACTTATTAACCAAACCATTTACATGAAGTCAGTTAACAGAGCTAAAGTATCAATCAGGTATTAGACCTTTGGATTAAGGGGAAATGTTGTAGGATGTACTCCAAGGTCTAATCGAAAAGAGGAGATTTATGAGGAGTTCAATAAACCAAGAAAATGTATTAAGGAAAATAAGAAAAAGGAAATGATGATCGAATATACAACTACAATGATGATTACCATGCAACAAATAATTCTATAAATAAATCTGTGTCCTCTGAGCTAGTATTATAACAGATATCAATGAAAAATCTTGCCAATGCCAATGCCATAAACTTAGCTTGGTTAAATTCCAAAAGGCGTCTTGCCAAACCATTGCTGAATAAATCAAAAACCCATCCTAAAAGGGAAATCGAAAGGAGAAAACTGCCAATACAATTGCCAATAAACCAAATTGTCCATGCCACGAATAACTAGTCTTGCCAATATTAATAATTGCGCGACTTTACCAATTCTGCTAATTGTATGTTTGCCAATCCCCACTTATTTGTGCGACTTGCCAATACCAACAATTGCGCGACTTGCTAATATCAACTCCAACCACAATTGCCAAGGCCTATACAGCTAATCATAGCCTGGCCATAACATGTAAGGAATAAATAATAATGGAAACTTAATATTTTAGTGAGATATTTTATGTAAAAATGAATAATAATCGCGTAATCAAAAGGAGGAACTTAGTCATTGATCGGTTGGTTCAAATGTTGTTTAGGAAATTTGATTCATACTCACAAGGCTTAGACACTAGCTTTTCTGAATCCTTCTGAGACCCACCCAAGAGCAAACAAGAACAAGAATCGAACCTTCCTTAAATGGGAAAACCAAAAGATTGGATACTGTTCAGTGAATTGCCAAGAACTTAACAACTATAAATAGGATGGCCCGAAGAAAAACAAGCTTTAAGGTTTCCATGATCGCCTGAAGCAGAAAAGTTAACAGATCCGAAGTATTGGAATAGGGTTAACAAGGCTGAGTTTATACACATTACCAGACAGCAATAAGGAAATTAATAACCGCTTTGTTAGACACTAAGCCAAGTAAAAAGCCAATCATTTTTCTCTCGCAGATTCCTCTACTTCTATATATCTTGGTGCCAACAACTCTAAGGTGGTTGTCGTATTGTAGTTTAGCTAGACCACTTTGTTTTAAATCAATTTATACGTGGCTGTATAATGCTGCACAATATATAAACACAGATGACGGAAGATGTATGTACCCTCTAAATAATGGGGCTTATTTGATTTTAGACTAAAAAATTCAAGATTCAGTTACCAAAGAAAACAAAGGGAACTAAAATTTGTTTACTTGTAACTAATTATAAAAAAAATAAATTATTCTTCTGCTGCAACATGCATGAAAAGGAATCACTAATTTAAAATTCTACTTCAATTGTTAGTACCATACCCCCTTATGTAGCATTCCATCTTCTGTAAAAATTCCATCTAAATCTCACTGTGTCTGTTTGAATTCTTGTTCTTCCCAATGTTTCTTATTCTTATTCTAATATCTACCAACAAACATTATGTCCAAGTTTAAAGTAAAGCTTCAGGTTCTAGTTCTAGTAGCAATTGTAACTTTTATCTTTATCGAAGAGGTTGCATTCTCCTTAAATGATTCCTATGATACCAGAATGGATGTAATACGTCTGCATGCGGCCCATTTCACACACACAGACAAGGACTCAGGATACCAAGAATTTTGGCAATCCGTTTTCGATTTATATAATGAGAATAGGATCTCAGAAGATGAACGGTCATGGATTCAATTGAAACCAGGATTGACTCGAAATTTTGGAAAAAACAGGGAGTCCTTATTGAAAAGATGTACAATCAAAAATGAACATCTTAAAGTAATCCAACAGAAGCATAGCAACATAGTGGAAAACCTTCCTAATGAACTTGCACCGTCTACCTACAAGAAGGGTTCCAGAGGCATAGTTATGATTGGAGGAGGATTCTTCTCTTGGTTGTCAATGTTAACTATTGTCCAACTTCGAGAACTTGGTTCCGAATTGCCAATTGAACTTGTCCTCCCCAACCAATCGGACTGTAATGAAAATCTTTGCGAAGTTGAACTTCCGAAATATAATGCCAAATGTATGATTATTTCAGATGTATTAGGATTGAATGAAACTGCACTCAACCTTCAAAAATATCAATACAAAGGTATTGCACTCTTGGCCAATTCCTTCCAACATGTTTTCTTGTTAGATTCTGATAATTTCCCCGTAACAAATATTGACAAATATTTTGATTCACCAGTCTACAAAGACCATAATATGGTTTTGTGGCCAGATTATTGGAACCGGTCAATCTTTCCATTATATTACGATATAGCCAAGATCCCTATTAATGTTAATAAACAAGCCAGGGTGGGTACATTGCCACTTATAGATCCTATAGATCTCACGGAAGGAGAAGCGAAGGCTGCCACATTCCATGATTTAGAGGGAGCAATACCCGACCTTTCAACCGAATCAGGTCA